ACTAAGTATATGTCAAAACAATAGAGCTCAGGTATTCATTCACTTCCTTATTTTACATAGACATTATATTTTCTGTTATCTTGTATTAAATATTGAAAAGATTTGTGTGTTTGAACAGATAATCCCATGCCCCACTGTGACTGCTATGCGATCTGAATAAAAACCCATTCACTACTAGTCTGGTTTCTTTTCTATCAATAGATTGAGGATTACCTACAGGCATAAAAAAATTTTCAGAAGGGGTTTTGTGGAGAATTGGTAATTTCAATAGTTGAAATCATTAATCAATTGAAACTAGACCACCATGGAAAACCTGAAAGCACTGGAAGACCGTCTCGTCCTAGTATGGGAGTCCTCAGCACTGCGCATCCACGATCCCGACCCCCCCGCGGGACTCGAACCCAGGACCTATCAGTCTCGTGCCAGTCACTTAACCAACTAGACCACTGAGCCGGCACCCAACGGTGTTGAAGTTAAACATTATTAGACATTTAGTGGACTGTGTGTTTTGATGGATTTTAGTGGGGGGAGGTGAATTAATGAAAGGGTATGTTGAACAGATTTCACAAATGTAAAGTTTTATTCGCTGCGAGACTATAATGCTCACCTTTATTGATATGTACTAGTTTGATGGCTGTATTTACAAAGGCTTGACTTCATTGGTGATGGGATGTTTTTATATTGTGTCCTTTTTAATTGTTCTTCAACATATAATTTTATTGTGAAAAACTGAAGATTACAATCAATAGAAACTGTTCAATCACTAAGCAGGACTGACAGATTTATTTGAGTAGATTATATCAACAATTGATTAATCACTGGGTGGTGATGAATGTCATATGTGTCAGGTCTTTCTTAATGCAGATCGAATCCTATCGATCAAGTTGTAATGTAGCCACCAGTCTAAGTGACTCGACATTGTATGAACTATGTTGAGATAAAATGGTGGTTGTAGGTAGTCAACAGGAAACTATGAACCTACTTGGCACTCGTCATTAAGGTGTACTTGTAATCTTGCGGAAACTGATGCTAGCTGACGGATTCGATCCCATTTCGCTCAGCTTCACAGTTAGAGACGTCATTCATTAGGATTTTCCATATATTGACAGTATATTCTATGAATTTATCTATACTTTTTCTATAAATAGATAATCATTAATTTGGGACAATTGGATCATTTAAAAATAGAAGGGAAATAGACAAATTATAAGCATTATAAGTAAAGATGAATGATGGCTAGCATTGGAATTGAGGAAGCTCGTTTCGTCTTATTTGGGAGTTACAGCTGTATATACCAGTGAACATCAACTCTGAGATGAAAGTGCATCCAGTTGGTCAGTCCCAAATATGATGAAGTGGTACGCGTTCTAAATTCCACTGCTAGACACTATCCATCTTTGATTGTAATTCTTAATGTTGCGAATATCATAACAGATAAGTGTTTATCAAAATGATATAATTCATCAATTAAATTGTTCTAATCTATATCATAAATCGTTAAAAATGTTTTTATCGGAAATGTATCACAGTAACGAATGATCAGATAGAAAGTCATTAAACAACACACCAACAACGAATTCTATAAGTAGTTGTTATAATGCACAGCTTTTCATGTCTACTGGAATGGGAGGTTAATATAGCGTAAACGAATATCTACACTAGATACCTTCCCAGTGTTCAATTCTACAGGTCTTCAACACAATTCCGATCAGGAACACATGACTCGGCTGACTAGAATGCAAGTATATTTCCATAACAAAAACCGACAACCACCACCACCACCACAACAACAACAACCACAGTCAGACAATATATAACTGGTCTATTACATGTCAGACTATCTTTACTAGTCTGATTGAATAAACAACTATTCATTATCATCATTTTCATTAACACACAGTCAACTATCAACATTCAATCAAGAACTCTAATGACCTCATTTCTTTCATTACTATTAATTTAAATTAACTTATACAGAATGAAGATTATTTAGAATGGAAAATAATAACTAACTATACATTATAGATAAACATATGTAATTTTCTATTACCATATCACTAATGATTGCCAAGTTGATTACTTTATATTTACTACTAAATAGTAGGCTTAAATAGAACCATTGAGCCAGAATTGAACGCTGTTCATGTTTAACTTCAATCGATCCATGATATTGCTCGACCCAATTCGTGTAGGGTAGTTACATGTATCGATCAAAGACAATAGATGAATGATTGCGCAAGATCATGGATCGACTGGAGTTAGACATGAATAGCGTTGGATGCCGAGATTAGATATTTGATTGAGGAAATGAGAAGTGATACATGTGATGTAACTTAGTTTTTAAAGGTAAACATGCTGTAATACATTAATTACCCAAAAGTCACTTCTGTTTTCATTCATTTTCGAATGCTTAGTTTTAAAACGAGGAATAATTGAAACTGACAGATTTTTTCAAGTTGTTTATTTAATTCAAGACCATTGGTGGTCCAGTTATAATATTCCGACACCAGACAATAGGTTTTAGGCGTTATTTAAGCCATAACGCTTCAGGCTGAGCTATTTCGCTTACGACCTTACATATGTGTTGTATGCAGCATAAGCTATATGGCTATGTAGAGCTGAAGGTCTCATATGAGGCTGGAGGTTCGCCATTGCTATTGTGGATGGTTCAGCAATGATTTGACAAGTTTTGCTGACTGTTGATGCACAAAATTGGTTTTCTGGTTAACCGATTTCATTCATACTGGTGTCTGGTTTTCAGTGTTCTGAAGGGCCATTGTCATTGGAACATTGTAAGGCATGTCACTATTGCTAATATTAATGAGTTTGACTGTCGTGTAAGCGGAATGGGTCAACTTTGGCCTGTTCGTGCTGTGCATAATTGATTCGCGTGATCAGTGGTCGGAATAACTACACATGTGGTATGAATGTGTATATGAATGGTGCGAATGGTCCATCAGGGTGCTTGGTACCTGTGTGATAGCGTCACAGGATTGAGCTGTACTATTCAGATTGTAGCGTTAAAGCCTATACGGTGTCTGGTTCCCCTGTGAAGCGGGATTGAGCTGTAGTGCTCGCTTTATAAAACCTAAGCGTGAGCGGTGTCTGGTTCTCCTGTTATACGGGGTTGAGCTGTACTGTTCGGATTGTCACGTGAAAGTCTGGACAGTGTCTGGTTCTCCTGAAAACCAGTGTAAAATTACCCTGGCCCACAAGGGTATATTATATAACTGTGAACTGTTAAAATGCCAACTTGTAATTGCAAGCTGGTCAACTTACTGTTTACTTTCTTAGTTTTATAGTAGAAAACAATGAAATGAATATGATAGAATTTGTTCATAATTTTTATTCGACAATGTCAATCATCATATTTATTTATAAATATAATGGATTACTGAAGATACATTTGTTAATGAACGAATGCAACTTATGGATTATAAAGTCTGATATTGTCATGCTTGCATGGTCTATTGTGGCCATTGGATAAGACCAATTGATTTATGCTTCATAAGTCATTATCTATACTTTAACCATATCAGTTATTTGATTATAACACTGACTTACCTACGCATAGGCCGCCTACCTGTATTATCCAACTCACTTTGTCCTGCACCTTTCTTTCCAGTTCTATCTGATTGTTCTTCATTCCTCTCATGTCTATCTCCATTTCTCGGCATAATGTGTTCTTTGATCTTCCTCTTCCTCTTTGAGCTGGAGAATTCCAAGTGACAGCTTGCCTTGTGATTCAGTTGTGTGCTTTCCTCAATATATGTCCTATCCACTTCCAACGCTTCTTCTTCTTCCTCATTCCTTTCTCCGCTGAGATCTGGTTTATTCTTTCCCACAGTAGGGTGTCGCTGATAGTGACTGGCTAACGGATCCGAAGTATTTTGTGTAGACAACTGTTAATAAATACTTGTATCTTCTGGACAATGGCTTTCGTGGTTTTCCAGGTTTCGGCCCCATACAGTAGAATTGTCTTCACATTTGTATTGCAAATTCTGACCTTAGTGTTGGTCGAGAGTTGTTTTGAGTTCCAGATGTTCTTCAGTTGTAAATATGATGCTCTTGCTTTTCCGATCCGTGCCTTCACATCCGCATCAAATCCACTGTGTTCATCGATGATGCTGCTTAAATATGTGAAGCTTTGTACACCTTCCCAATCTTCTCCGTCAATTGTGATTGGATTGTTGCATGCTGTGTTGTACCAGAGAATCTTGCTTTTCCCTTTGTGTATATTAAGACCTATTGCTGCTACACTGGTCGTCTTCTCCTTCATTTGTTGTTGTGTATGCGATGGAAGATCCAGATCATCTGCGAAGTCCAGCTGCATCTTAGCTGTCCATTGTATTCCGTGCTTCCCTTCAGATGTTGACGTTTTCATGATCCAGTCGATCACCAGGAGAATAAGAAAGGGTGAGAGTAAGCAACCTTGCCTGAAATCGGTCTTCACTTCGAATGAGTTATCATTTATTAATGGATTCTCTCTATATATGTTTAGTTTATTTTTTTATTTTGCTCAAAATAACTCACCTTATCAAATCGAGTTGGCAACCATATTTTCTTCTCATAGTTTCTTTTGTTATTTGTCTACGGTTATGAGTATATGAAATATTTATATGGTAAAATTCTTCTCATATTTTATTGTATTATTCACTAATGTGAATAAAGTCGATAAATATGTACAACTGTAGGCAGAATATCTTATACATTATCATTATTATGTAATCAAGTTCAAGTCAGATTGCCGACTACGATCGATTGTTTGTTTGTATGAACGAATATTACTTAGCTTTGTGATGAAGTATTAAAATATTTCTTTCTTGCTTTTTTTTGTTTTTTTTCAGCAGTTGACCAATCAATCACACATAGAATGGTACTTAAGTGCCATAGCAACAAATCGATATGATCTTCTTAGGCTATAAATACAAAATAATCATAAGAAGAAGAAGAAGAAGAAGAAGAAGAAGAAGAAGAAGAAGAAGGAAATAGTTTCGATAACAACAACAACAACAACAACAACAAGAACAATGTATCGTACATTACTGTTTAATGCCAATTTCTTTATCTTTTGGTTAATTAATTTATCAATTCAAGATGGTATGTATTCGTTAACTATTCAAAGATACTTACATATTGTCTATATTCATATTGTTTATTACCATATTATAATGATGAATGATGAATGTAGTTTATCATTCATAAAAGTATAACTATTCTATTAACTTAATCATTGAATTCATGAGTCAATTTAAGGTTGATCATTATGGAAAACTTTGAAAGTATTGAATAGCCATTTCGTACTAGTATGAAATTGGTTGAAGTTAAGCATGAACAACATTGAATGATGATCACTTCAGTGGTTTACAGGTTAGGCATTCGTACACGAGACCGAAGATCCTTGGTTCGAGTACTTCATGGGATATCATTGATGCGAATTGTTGGAGAATACCATACTAATACAAAAAAAACCCACAATCCGTTCTAACAACCTTTTCTTCTATTATATCGACATTGTATAGAAAGATAAATATGAATGCCAGGTTATTATAATTAATAATTTGTAATCAATAATCATTAATTGTAACTTTCAACAATGAAGTTCAATGTAGAAATACTTTAATAGTTGAGATTATGCATTAATTGAAGCTGGACCACTATGGAAAAGGTGGAAGCATTGGATGACTGTTTCTTCCCCATACGAGACTCCTCAGCAATGCACATCCACGATACCGCCTCGCTCGCGAACGCTTAACCTCTAAACCACTAAGCCGGCCAGTATCCAACAATGTTAATGTCTAACTTCAACCAATCCACGAGTAATTTAACCGTTCATACACGAGACTGAAGTCCTTGAGTTGAAATCTCGCGAGCGGGATCGTGGATGTGCACTGTTGAAGAGTCCTACAATAGGACGAAACAGCCTTCGAGTTCTTCCAGGTTTTTCATGATGCTCTATCTTCCATTGATTCGTGATCTCAACTATCTAAAAAAGAAATAACTATATTATCCGAAGGCAGATTCGGTGGAGATTTCATGAGTCAATTAAATCTCCCTAATCCTATACTCATATTTATTAATATTATTCATATCATATATATTATCATTATATATAGTCGATATAAGTATGAATTCAACAGAATCATTAACAATATCATTAGACGTATCTAATTCTATTTACTTTTAGTTGAATATTGGAGATCCAAGAAATTATTCATTGAATATTCACTTGATAAAACTAGAAGTACGTTGTTTTTTTTCTTTTTGATATGAACAAATTTACATGGAATTACTTATATTCAAAGTATAATCATTGTTAACTAATTATTTGAATAATTTTATTGAATACTCACAAAGATCAATGGTGGTTAGCAATAGAATCCAAGACGCATATTTTATACGGTTTAGAACTTATCAGCTGAATATACTTACGTCCTAGAGTTGATGTTCACTTCGGGACTCGAACACAGTACCGTTCACTTTAATGATAACAATAATAATACCAATTGAATTTAATGAATACAATTTCGTGTTGAGTTAATGAAACAGTAACATTTTGAAAGTCTAAGACTCGAATGGACTAATTGTTAAGTAGTAGTAGTAGTAGTAGTAGTATTCGTAGCAGTATTAGTTGTAGCAGTCGTATCAGTATCAGTCGTAGCAGTAGTCACAGTAGTAGTAGTGGTAGTAATAGTGGTAGTAGTAGTAGTCGTAGTCGTAGTAGTAGTAGTAGTAGTAGTAGTAGTAGTAGTAGTAGTAGATCACTGTCATAACTACTGAATCTTTATTACTGACCGAATATTACAACAATGAAATAACTAAACCAGGTGACGTGCAATGAAATATACCATGTAAAATTTGAATCAATCATGGATTATTAATTACGTTAAGATGATAAGTAGGTCTATACTGATGATAACCACCAAACATAATATTTCTATTAACCAATCTTTTATGAAAACACTCTATGTTAAAGAAGTAATCACTAACGACCTAAAAAGTACTTCAGGTATGTAAAAGTATTCAGAATCATGAATACATAGTTCTTTTTAAAATATTGTTCCTTTTAGATAAAATAAAAGAGGATGTGAAATATGCAATAGAAGCTTTAGATGAAATTGAAACATTACAAAGTAATTCAAATCTCTTCTGTTAACTAGTTATATATATATATATATATATATATATATATATATATATATATATATATATATATATATATATATATATATATATATATATCAACACTTCAACACACTATACGAACATACAAACCTTAATCACTAACATACTCCTGCTATCCTTTATAGAGAAGCATAGACCGTGCACTAGCATTCTCTTTCAAACTTTCTCTTTGGCATTCTTATCCAGTTATTCCAAACTGTTATTTATTCTTTTCATATCTACTTTTAATTCACAATCTAGTGTATTCTTTGACCTACTTCACTTCTGTTTCCCTTTAACATTCCATGTCAATACATTTGCCTTGTAAGAGAATAACTTTACTCCCCCCCCAAAAAAAAACAATCACTAAGCAGAATAAACACATAGAAATCATTCTATAATAATTCCTGATAAAACAGTAAATAACATTAACAAATGAATTACATTACTTCGTTACTTATTCGTTCTTCCATTTGAATAGTTGTCTTGATTCAATCTTTATATTATAAATGCATAGATATAGACCAAATACAATAGTAGTATATCCAATGAAAGAACATAATTCATTGTGATAGATTTGCATTTATATACAATTGTTAATCTATTTCATCATTTACAGAATGATATCAGTAGTATTTAGATTTAGGAAATCTATCATGAATGATTCAAGTATACAATATCATCGAGATAAACAGTTTCATTATTGTGTTCGATATAAACAATTATGTGTACTGCTGAGGAGTCTCACAATAGGACGAAACGACCGTCAAAATGCTTCCAGGTTTTTCATGGTGGTCTAACTTTAATTGATTCATGATCTTAACCATTGAAATTATTAAATATTCAATATCTGTCTAGTTTCACAAATCTAGTATAATGTAATCAAATCAAATATGTAAGCATTTTAAAGATGGTTTCGATAAAGAGACAAACATCGATTGAGTAAACAATTGATGATGGTGACTATGTTTCACACATACATACATACACACACATTACCATAAATCGTTCCACAATATCGAATATTTTCTATCATAGTAATTCGTATATATAGAGAGAGAGAACGTTTCGAATGAGGCATTTGTATTTTGTATACAGAGTTTCAAGTGGTATAGATGTGTTCTTCTGTATATTGGATTGTATCAGTTAATGTGTACTTTAGTTGATAAAGTATTCTGAAGGAGAGGTTCGAGCGGAAGCTTGATCCATGTTCATATGTAGTTTAAGATGTAATGATTTACAACGTAAGTTTATTGTAAATACAAAGATCAATGTGAATAGGTGTACTGTATTGTCTGAGTATTGGAATTTATACTTTGTATCGTACAATACATAATTAATCATAATGAAGGTTATATATTTTCTTTTCCGAAAGTTATTAAAGTTAAGAATTCTTTGTTAAGATTGGTTCTTAGAATAGCTTAGTTGAAATACTGAATATTTAGTTCCATTCAATGAGTTGAACAGTTCACACAAATAAATAACGTAATCTAGATTAGTATTTTATCATCATTACTATTGATTACTGAAATACTAGAATAGCTGAACGGCTGTTTCGTCCTATTGTGGGACTCCTCAGCAGTGCGCAACCACGATCTTGCTCGCGGGATACGAACCCAGGGCCTTCAGTCTCATACGCGAACGCTTAACATACTGGGCCACTGAGTCGGCCAGCATCCTATGGTGTTAGTATCTAACATCAACCAATCCACGAAATTGCCGAAACGACCGTTCAGTGCTTCTAAGTTTTCAACGGTGGTCTAACATCAATCAATTCATGATCTTAATCAAAAACTTAATAATCTCCACTACCCCTATACTGACTAGAATAACTGTATGATTCAGGCAACTTGTAATGTTCTCAAATAATTTATGTATTTAAAAAGGAAGAGTGTATTTATAAAATCCCAAGCGAATGAATCTGAAGCAAATCCAACGTTTCGCCGGGTAATATTTCATTGAAAAAGCTTGAACTAGATTACCAGACGAAACGTTGGATTTAATTCAAATTCATTCGCTTGAGATTTTACAAGTACATTCTTCCTCTTCAATGTCTCTCATCAATTCGGTGTTCAAATAGTGTGAATGTAGACGAAAGTTCTTATAAATTCATGTATTTCTTTGAATGTTCCAACCAAATCAGAATGATGAAATTCAATTGGTATTGTTTTACTTGATTCTTCCCATTGATGTTTAGGACTGATCAATTGATCAGACTTTTTTATTGGCATATATACACACTGTGCGTATTGCCTCGATATTACCTTAATTCACAAGCATTATAAACAAAGATGGAAAGTGGCTAACAGTGCAGTTAAGGAAGCGCGTTTTATCTTATTTCGGACTTGTCAGCTGGATGTACCTGCATCTCAGAGTTGATGTTCACTGCGGGACTCGAGCTCATTATCGTACGGGTACTAGATAAGGATAGCAAATCAATCAATGAAGTAGTGAAACTTCGTCAGTTGAGATGTCTGGGACATGTGTTACGTATGCCCAACCACCGACTACCTCGATGCACGATGTTTTATCATGTAGGAGTAGGTTGAAAATAAGTTAGCAGCGGCCAGACCAAAACATGGAACAAAACCATGAATTCACTCACAAGTGTATTAAATCATATTGATAGGTGTAGACTACTTGATTAGGATATGTGAGAGAGACTTTCAATGACGTGGCTCACAATCGTTTACAATGGCGCAGGTACATCCAAACTTTGTGTTTTCCCAAATTCTAATCTTCTGAATTTTTCATGCCCCCTTTCTTTTTTTTCTTTACAAATTTATTTCACTAGATTATACTCCTTAAATAACACCTTCAAACCCTAATCTTTACAATTATTGCTTATACTCTTACTACCTCTACCACTATGGGATTTGAATCGACCATTGCATCTCTATGCTAATATGATACGGCAACTTGAATTGATGTACGTACGTACAACGTTCTACGTTGTCGCTGACTGACTGACTGACTGCCTGACAATTCACTTCAAACGTCATTCTTACTTACCTAATTACGCCTGTTACTCCCAATGGAGCATAGGTCACCAACCAGCACTCTCCAACCAACTCTCTACTGGGCTTTCTTTTTCTAGTTCCATCCAATTTTTGTTTATTTTTCTCGTGTCTATCTCCGTTTCTCGGCGTAATATGTTCTTTGGTCTTCCTCTCCTCCTTCGTTTTTGAGGATTACATGTGAGGGCTTGTCTTGTGACGCAGTTCGTTGCTTTCCTCAATATGTGTCCTATCCACTTCCAGCGCTTCTTCCTGATTTCTTCCTCCACTGGGATCTGATTTATTCTCTCCCTCAGTAGGTTGTTGCTGAGAGTGTCTGACCGACGGATCAGAAGTATTTTGCGTAGACAACTGTTAATAAACACTTGTATCTTCTGAATGATGGCTTTTGTAGTTTTCCAGGTTTCGACCTCATACAGTAGAACTGTGTTGACATTTGTATTGAAAATTCTGACCTTGATGTTGGTTGCCAATTGTTTTGAGTTCCAGATATTCTTCAGTTGTGAATATGATGCTCTTGCTTTACCAATCCGTGCCTTCACATTTGCATCAGATCCACCGTGTTCATCGATGATGCTGCCCAAATATGTAAAGGTTTTTACACCTTCCCAATCTTCTCCGTCAAGTGTGATTTGAGTGGTGTATGTTGTGTTGTATCGATGAATCTTGCTTTTCCCTTTGTGTATATTGAGACCTACTGCTGCTGAGGCTGTTGCTGCTACACTGGTCGTCTTCTCCTGCATTTGTTGTTGCATGTCCACCTGGAGTCCCTTTTGGGGGGCTACTGCCGGTCCCAAGCCCGGATAAAGGAGGAGGGTTGGGCATGGAGTTAGCGACCGCATCCCGTAGAAAACTAACTCGCTAAAAAAACGCTAACCAGAAAAAATTATTCAATCGTCATTCTAAATAGGATGAAATGGTGTGCGTCTTAGATTCCACTATCAGGCATTATCCATCTTCATTTATATTTATACGTCAATTGTTTGTATCTATTCTATTGTAGATAAATTCAATAAAGAAATATCTGGTAATAACAAATCAATTAATAATTGTATGTAAACAAACAAACAAACTGATTATACAAATTCAAACGAATTATTTTAGATATAGAATGTTGTAGAATAAAAGCTGAAGCATTTTTTGGCGCTACATTAATGACAAGTAGTTTAGATAAACTATTGTGCTCTTTTTTTGTTTTTCTGTTGTTTATTTTTGTATTTTTAAAAGAAAGGAACATCACTTGTAATCATTTAAAGTCATCTTGTTTAAGGATATTGAAATGTTCCATACTATGATGAAATGGTTATCTAGAGCTTTAAAGAGGTTATCAATGATAATCTAACATGGATCAATTCATGATCTTAATCGATGAACTTAACAATCTCCACAATTCTATATTGATAATTATTATATAAATTGGAATAGTTGTATTTTATGTGTATATCATGTTGTCTATATACAATAATGGTTAAGTGTTCGCTCACGAGACCGAAGACCCTGTGTTCGAATCCCGCCCGACGAACTACACACTGTGGAAGAGTTTCACAATAGGACGAAACGGCTGTCCAGTGCTGCCATGTTTTCAATAATAATCTAATATTAATCGTGTTTATAATCTCAATCAATAATTTAATAATCTACACAACTCTATATTGATAATTGTCTTTATATTATGCATCATAATTGTTTGTCTATTCAATGAATATAGTTTAAATAAGATTGTCAAATGATTCTTAACGTTGATGAATTTCAACTCCAGAGTGAACGTGTACTTTAGGTATGAAAGTATATTCAGTTAATGAATCTCAAATAGGGTAAAGGTGGCGTCCTAGCCACCATCCATTTATGCTTGTAATACTTGTTATTTCAAGCAATAACAAAGTAATCCCCTTAAGATACACTATATGCCAATAATAGACTGATTCATTATAGTTCTAATTAGGCAAACATTCTGTTATATAATCATTTCTTGTTTAACATTTTTATAGAAATAATAAAGACAATAGAAAATGGTGTAAATGAATATGGTAATCATTAGTTAGTATTACATAATTTACATTGATAATATTGACCATTTCAATATTTCTGATTGATGTTTTTCTTTTCTAGCGAGTTAGTTTCCTACGGGATAAGATCACTAACCTCATACACAACCCTCTTCCTTTATCCGAACTTTAGATCGGCAAGAGCCTCAAAGAGGTTCCAGGCAGAGTTCGAATATTTTCAAGGTGAATATCAAAGAGTTACTTCTATCTGAAGTATGTACTGATGATGTTATTCAAAAGAACAATGATAGTTCCACGAATAAATCATCCATCTCAGAGAACAAAACTTCATCAAAATTATTTTCATCCTATTTCATCTTGTTTTGTTAATGACTTGAATTGGTTGATTCATTATTCCGAGTAATTGATCAATTCATATTTGATATATACGTTACATTGTCATTTGAAGTTTATATTGTTTTAATAATATTTCTTAGGAGTAATATTACCGGAAAGTTTGAAACTAATCAATTGTTATAATGCACATCGGTCAACATATAAACGTAAATTTATTTTTATAATTGTGTTATATAATACTTAAATTTACTACTAACAACTTGTGATTTTTAAGTAGATTCACATTGTATTAAATATGTAATTCTAATTAAATTTCAATAGTTGAGATCATGATTTAATTAAAGCTGGACTATCATGGAAAACCTAGAAGCACTGGACGGCCGTTTCGTCCTATTGTGGAACTCCTCAATAGTGCGCACCCACAAGATTCAAACTCATGATCTATCAGTCTCGCGCCAGACACTTCATCAACTAGACCACTGAGCTGACTAGCATCCAACAGTGTTAATGTATAACTCCAAATAATTCACGAAATTGAGCGACACATCCACCATTGTCTTCAGTGAGTTACTATCTTACAACAGACCCGGTTGAACTTCACTGGTCACTGTTTCTCACTAGAACTCCAGGAAATACTTCTTGAACCCAGTCACTAGTGAGCATATATTGATTGATATCAGAAGGGATTTTGTGGATATTATAGTAATTTCAATGGTTGAGAGCATGAGTTAATTGAAGCTAGATCACCATGGAAAACCTAGAAGCACTGGACGGCCGTTTCGTCCTATTGTGGGACTCCTCAGCAGTGTGCATCCAATTATTAATTAAATATAATAAAATCATTCTAAACTACGTTAGATGGTGGCTAGTAGTGGAATCTAGGACATGTGTTTCGTCATATTTTAGACTCGTCAGATGGATGTAAAATCAAATAGTTGTTCTGTTTGAATACAACGTCATTGATGCTTTCTGATTACTTACTTACACCTGTTACTCCTCGTCGAAAAGAATTAACCACTCATCAGCACTCTCCATCCAACTATGTTCTGGACAATCCTTTCCACTTCTTCACAGTTGCTATTCATTCTTTCCATATCTGCTTCCGATTCTCGGCGTAATGTGTTCATAGGTGTTTCTATTCTCTGTGTTCATTCAGGATTCCAAGTTAAGGCTTGTTTCGTGATGCAGTTTGGTGATTTCCTCGATGTGTGTCCTATCCACTTCCAAAGTCTTTTCATAATTACCTCCTCAGTTGGGAGTTAATTTCTTCTCTCCCACAGTAGGCTGTTTCTGATAGTATCCGACCAGCGGATATTGAGTACCATGCGAAGACAATTGTTTGGAAATATTTGTGCCTTTTTAATGAGGATTATGGTAGTTCTCTATGTTTCAGCTCCGTACAGTAGAACTGTTTTGATGTTCGTGTTGAAGATTGTGACTGATATTAGTTGACAGTCGTTTCGAGTTCCATATATCCTCCAATTGGAGGAATACGGCCGTTGCTTTGCTGATCGTCATTGTTAATCGATGATGTAGCTGACCAGATAAGTGAAACATTCCACATCTTCTAGAGCTTCTTCATCGAGTTTGATTGTGTTAGTGTTCGCTGCGTTGTATTTGAGGATCTTGGTTTTCACTCTATGTATGTTGAGGCCTACTGCTGCAGAGGCTGCTGCTACACTATTTGTCTACATCTGCATTTGTTGGTGTGTATGGGATAGAAGGGTCAAGTCATCTGTAAAGTCCAAATCGTCTAGTTGCACCCAAAATATCCATTTTATTGCGTGCTTCTCATCAGATGTGGATGTTGATGATTAGCGTCATCAGCTAAAATGCCAAAACTCTATTTAGCTAAATAGATGAATGAATTTCGCGCCAAAAATTCAAGACCTGTTATTTTAAATCTGATTGGTTCGTTCAGAAATTATAATTTCATCCTGATGAAAATGGTGGATGTGTCGCTCAATTTCATGAATTAGTTGAGGTTAAACATTATCATCGTTGGATGCTGGCCGGCTCAGTGGTCTAGTGGTTAGGCGCTCGTGCGCGAGACTGATATGTCCAGGGTTGAAATTTCGCGGGGGATCTTGATCATGGATGATCACTGCTGAGGAGTCCTACAATAGGATTAAACGACCGTTCAGTGCTTTCAGGTTTTCCATGATGGTCTAGCTTCAACTGAATCATGATCTCAACCATTGAAATCATCCTATTAAGTTAATAGCAATACATTGAATAATGAACAGAATTATCTAAACTTAGTTCTAATAAAATGAAACCATATCTATACTAACTTTTCAATGACTTTTTTCACTCTTCGATAGAAATAATTTCCAAATATGGAAAGGATATATGCATTGGACTTACTACATACCCCAGAAAAAGTAAACTTAAATGATTCACATTTTATATAACCATATTACTTACTTATTTATTTACTCTTGTTACTCCCAATGGAGCATAAGCCGCCAATCAGCATTCTCCAACTCACTCTGTCCTGGGCCTTTCTTTCTAATTCTATCCAATTGTTCTCCATTCTTCTCATATCTGTCTCCGTTTCTCGGCGTAATGTTTTCTTTGGTCTTCCACTTCTCTTTGGCCTTTGGGATTCCATGTGAGAGCTTGCCAAATGATGCAGTTGTGTGCTTTCTTCAATGTGTGTCTCATCAACTTCCATCGCTTCTTCCTCATTTCTTCCTCCACTAGGATCTGGTTTGTTCTGTCCCACAGTAGATTGTTACTGATAGTGTCTGGCCAAAGGATCCTAAGTATTTTGTGTAGACAACTGTTAATAAACACTTGTATCTTCTGGATGATGGCTTTTGTAGTTCTTCTAGTTTCCGCAGAAGAGCACTTAACCACTGAACCGGCCGGCATCCAACGATGTTAATATCTAACTCCAACCAATCCATGAAATTGCGCCACTGTTCACCATTTTCTTCAGTGAGTTGATATCTCACAACAGACCTGGTTGAACTCCACTGGTCACAGCTTCTCACTAGAATTTTGTAGTTGTTCACTGAATCATCAACATTAAAAAAGAGAAATCATGTTTCTTATATCATAAAAACAATATTCCTTTCTTGGTTTAAACAGTATGAACTTCATGTTTTATAGTTGTCCGTCCATTACATACCATGATTTCGAAACAATATCGTCATCTTCAAGGTTACAATTATAGATTATGTAAGTAGAATGTTTTTTTCTTCATTTTTTTCCCAAAGAATAACATTTTCAGATGAATAAATACTGTAATGAATGAGTACACAAATGGGGACAATCGAATTTATTTGAATACAAAATCACAGAACATCTTTATAAAATCTGAGGACCATACAGTGAATAGTTCATTTGCACAACGTTTATCAATCATCGCAGACATGATTGTTCCTTCGTTTTCACATCAATCACTCATTGTTCTCGTTCTTTTTTCTTTCGATCTTCTTAACTTTTTACCATCAGACATTTTACTTTCGATTGATGATGCATACTACTTATATATCTCTCAACATCAGTAGCATACATTACAGTAGTTCATACTTACTTACTTACTTACGCCTGTTACTCCTCGCGTAGTAGCATAGGCCGCTCACTAGCATTCTGCATCCAACCCTGTCCTGGGCAATCCTTTCCAGATCTTTCCAGTTGTTATTTATCCTTTTCATATCTGACTCTATTTACCGATGTAATGTGTTCTTTGGCCTTCCACTTTTCCTCTTCCCTTCGCAATTCCATGTTAGGACTTGCCTCGTGATGCAGTTTGATGATTTGCGTAATGTATATCCTATCGGTTCCTATCGTCTTTTCCTAATTTCCTGTTCAGCTGGAACCTGGTTGGTTCTCTCCCACAGAAGGCTGTTGCTGATCGTATCCGACCAATGGATGTTGAGTATCTTGCGTAGACAGCTATTGATAAATACTTGTACATTCTTGATGGTGGTTGTTGTAGTTCTCCAGGTTTCAACTCCGTACAGTAGAACTGCCTTGACGTTGGTATCGAAGATTCTGACTTTGATATTGTTTGTCAGATAGTTGTTTTGAGTTCCGTTTGTTCTTCAATGGAAGGAATGCTGTCCTTGCTTTGCCAATCGTCGCTTTTACGTCTGCATCTGAACCTCCTTGTTTATCGATGATGCTTCGCAGGTATGTGAAGGATTCCACATGTTCCAGAGTTTCGCCATCAAATGTGATTAGATTGCTGTTCTCCATGTTATATTTGAGGACGTTGGTTTTCCCCTTATGTATGTTGAGGCCTACTGATGCAGAGACTGTTGCTTTGCTGGCTGTATTTATCTGCATTTGTTCGTGTGTATTAGATAGGAGGGCTAGGTCATGTGCGAAGTCCAAATCGTCTAATTGGTTCTGAGCTGTCCATCGTATGCCGTGGTTTCCCTCAGATATCGAGGTCTTCAAAATCCAGTCGACCACCAGAAGAAAGAGGAAGGGAGAGAGTAGACAGTCTTGTCTGACTCCGGTCCTTACTTAGAGTACATCTGTCAGCTGTCCTCCATGCACGACCTTGCACTGTAGTTCGTCGTATAAGTTTCGGACAATGTTGACAATCTTCTAAGGAACTCCGTAGTGTCGAAGAAGTTCCCATAATGTTCTCCTATTTGACTATATTCATATTGTATACAACAAGTGATTTAATTTTTGGATCAAATTTATGATATTTTTAAACTAAAAGAAAGCACAAAATATTGAATAAATCAAAATTAACTACTTAATTAACACTAAAGATGATTATTTTATCAGTAGTATATATCCAATTATTATTCTAATTTGTCATTTCAGTTACATATGAATTTCAATTGAACATTGCCAATGAAATTAATAAACATTTATCAAATTGTAAGTCCATATAAGAAACTGATTGTATTCATTTTTGTTATAGTTGCTTAAATCTGTAATTGATCAGTCTCTTATTGGCATATGTACATCCTATACAGATTGATTCTTATTAACTGAAGCTCCAAGTATCATAAGTATAGATGGATAGTGGTTAGCAATGTAGTCCAGCACATGTGTTTCGTCCTATTTAGGACTCATCAGCTAAAAATATCAAAATCTCACAGTTGATGTATACCCTGAAACTCGAACACAGTACTACTCACTTCAGATGCCATTGCATTATCCACTAAGCTACTGTGTTCAGTTAGTCACTGACTTATACAAAGGTGTTTCAACTAGCATGAAACGCATTTTCTGTATTACATTGCTAGCTACTATCAATCTCTGCTTAAAATGCTTGTGATTTAAGGCAATATCAAGGTAATCTGCATAAGATGTATATATGCCAATAAGTAAGTGATCATCTATGGAAAGATTCAAACAAACAATACAAAAATTAATTCAAGTTTTACCCAATTTGACAAGCTAGTGGTTATCAGAACATAGAAGCTGTGTAGATAATGCTATAGCGTTTAAAGTGAGCAGTGCTGGGTTTGAGTCCCGCAGTAAACATTAACACTGAGGCGCAAGTACATTCAATTGACGAGTCCAAAATAAGACGAAACGCACATCTTGGATTATACTACTAGCCACTATTCATCTCTTCTTAGAAAAAAAAACTGATTATTTGTTTGCTTTTTCTAATTTATATTAAATTAAACATCACTCGTTGAAATCAATTCATGAATCAATTGAAGCTGGACCACCATGAAAAACCTGGAAGCACTAGACGACCTTTTCATCCTAGTATGGGACTCTTGAGTAGTGCGCATCCGCAATCTCGAACCCAGAACCCGATCAGATACTACTTTTATGTATATAACAGTGAATGATCTACATTTTGACTAAATGATTGATTGGTTCATTTTTTTTTACAGATGACAAATTGATCATGAAAAAAGATGATATTGAATTCGACTTCAAACATTCAGAACGTATGTTTTAGTTTAAAGAATTAAAATTCCCTTTCAAATATTTTATCTTGATATTATGGATTTGATAAAAGAAACTGTTGACATTTATGTTTTCGTGACTTCATTGAATCAGTCACAATTATTTGATCATAATGAATCAAATGCTAGAGGGATTCGAGTTTCAGAGTGAAAATTAACACAAGAATGAATATACGGATTCGATCCCGTATCACCCTGCTTCATAGTCAGAGACATTACCACTGAGCTATCCAGGCAACGACTGACCTTCTATAGGACTGAGATGTATTTAAAATTGATTGATCACTGGGTGGTGATCAATGTCATGTGTGTTAGGATCTTCTTAGTGCAGATCAAATCCTATCAACCAAGTTGCAATGTGGCCACCAGTCTAGGTGGCTTGATATCGCGTGCACTATGTTGAGATAAGATGGTGGATGAAGGTAGTCAATGGGAAACTCTGGACCTAGGTTTCAAGCTAGTTGGAGCTCGTCAGTAATTTAAATGGTTTGAATATTTTATCTGGTTAGAGTTTCTTTAGCGAGTTAGTTTTCTACGGGATGGGGTCGCTAAACCCATGCCCAACCCTCCTCCTTTATGCGAGCTTGGGACCGGCAGTAGCCCCCGGAGGGACTCCAGGCGGAGTCGCTCGTCAGTAAGGTGTACCTGTAATCCTGAGGGAACTGATTCTCCCTGATGGATTCAACATCGTTTTACTCAGCTTCACAGTCACAATGAATATATGTATCCTTGAATAGGACAATTCACTCATCCTCCCTTCCAATACTAACTATCGTACATTTCTGATTACAATTATTGTAATGAGAGCATGAAAAATATTTTATGAATAGAGATTATTTGACAAGTGTATATAAGAATGAAGGTATATAAAACTTAATATTTTAATCAAAAGTAATATCTAGATTTATTGGCAAAATAGATACAATCAAATTTGTATTTTAAGCAAAGATGGATAGTGACTAGCACTGAAATCTAGAACGCATGCCACTTCAACCTATTTAGGATGGCGTATGAAGCGAACGGTACTGGGTTCGAGTCATAGAGTGAACATCAGCTCTGAGATGCAGGTATATCCACTTGACGAGTCCTAAATAAGACGAAACACACATCCTGGATTCTACTGTTAGCCACCATTCATCTTTGCTTAGAATACTTGTGAATTAAGATAACATCATGGCAATGCCCCCAAATGCCCTGGTACGGCCGAGAGTGGAGAGAGTCCGCTTTCCCTCTCGAAATGCTCTCACATGACCACGCATATATAGCCTCTGCCAGGGAAGTCCTACTCACTGCTGGCAATACACACAGTGTGCACATATGTTAATAAGATATTGATCAATTGCACCTCTAAATACCAATCGGAAGATTCAAGTAGAAAATACCAAGCGATTTCAAATCTATTAAAACTCTTCAATAATGTTCATTATAACATACAGTTTACTATGGAACACGAACGAAATGACATGTTCCACATTCTTGATATTGCTACAAAACGTAAAGAAGATGGGATATTTCAACGTTTAGCTCATGATAAAAGTAATTTGAATGGCCTTTACTTGAATTTCAGTAGTTTTGGTCCAATTAGTTATAAAAAATATAACTATGTTTACAAAATATGTATTTATTAAGAAGTAAAGAATAATATCAGTTCCATATACGATCTATTCTCAATTCTCTTATACCTAATTTACAGAGAACATAAAAGAAGAAATTGAACATTTCAGAGAAAATGAAGCACAATTGTCAAGCATAAAACGTAAATTTAAAGATAATAAATAAGGATAATAGACTGAAGGTCCTGGTTTTGAATCCCGCTAACGTGATCGTGGCTGTGCACTGCTGAGGATTCCCACAATAGAACGAAACGGCCGTCCAGTGCTTCCATGTTTCCAATGGTTGTCCAACATCAATCGTGCTCATGATCTCAATCAATAATTTAATAATCTCCACAACCCTATACCGATAATAACCATATGATCTATTATTTATTATTATTATTATTTGAACACATAAATATTGGTAGAAGAGGGCACCAAATATATATGCGCCACACAGATTTCATTTGATTTGTGTGTGGGCTGTGATACTGCACGGGTGCCCAAACCGAAACAGGTGGTTATCTTAGCGGGCCACACCCCGAGCCTTCGAACTAAAGGTCTGACTTACAAGGCAGTGGAGCATCGTGAGGAGATGCAGTCCCATGGTAGTCGGTGACCAACGATTGGTTCATAGGCCATTTGTTCCTTCAAGATTCTGGAGCCCATGTGCACCATTGAGTTGGGAACTAGTTATAGCGCCAGACATTCGCTTTTCGTCCTCTCATTTTCGTAAAGAACACCCCCGCCACGAGAATGCAGTGAGTAGGACTTCCGTGGCAGAGGCTGTATACGCGTGGCCATGTGAGAGCATTTCGAGAGGGTGAGCGGACTCTCCTCACTCTCGGCCATACCAGGGCATTAATCATTTATTGTTTAAAGATAACAAATATAATTTTAGTACACATTTCAGATGCAATCAATATGGAATTATCAAAAGAACACCAAACAATCGATCAATGTATGTTGAAACATGAATTCATCACAAATAAATTTATTTGATGATTGTAGATATGATGTGCAGAAGTAAAATTTATCAAACTATTGAACAAAAGATTCTTATGGGAGGTCAGTGTGTACCTAATCTATTTCGATTTGCAATTGATGAATTCGATCATTACGAGATGGTTGCTGTGATGTGATGTGTGTGTGTGTGTCTGAAATACGTATGCATTTGATGATTTGATTATTAGTATGAAAATGTGATGTGTATATCATACAGACATGTGACTTGTAGTTTCACTCAATTGACAAACAATGAACATGACACATAGCAACAGTGTGCATGGAGTTCGACAGTATTTGAGTATTTCACAACGAACATACTCAACATTCGATCACCTCATATCAACTGTATTTGCAGATGAGGTGATCAAAAACACACACAAACAAACACAGAGAGTTTTTTCAATGGACACATGTCAAACTGTTGGTATTACACCAATACAAATACTGATATCACCTTCATTAGTTATCAACTGAATTTATCTTCCAGTGTGTTTTATTGCAACTTTAAATTCTCTTGTTCTACAATGTTTAGAGTTAATCAATGAATTAAGAACACAAGAAAACATATATGGTATGTGTAGTTTCCTCTAGTGTACTGATCATGTGTGACAACTGAAACGGTATTGATGCCATTTCATCAACATTTTCAGAGTATCTGAAATGTGGTGATGAGAAGTGCAGCACAATCATCATTTTATGTAGTTGACATGAACACTCCACTTAGTTGTGAATGTGATTCAATGTCTGTGATGAAGAACTTTCTGTGTTTTATATTTGTGGTTCAGTAATCTTACCGAATGTAAACCTTACTATTTGACTATTGAATTGTAGGAATAACTATTCGAAATTCTCATATAATGAAGGAGTGTTTCACTGAAGAACAGTCGGTTTATGCAAGTGAGTGTGAATACTTACGTACGATTGATTGGCACATAAGTTTCCTTTGAATTATTCAACGATGAAATGTTTGAAATGGATGATACTTTCTGTGTGATGAATCATTCAATGATCTAATGTTCATCGATGTTGTGCGAATTAGAGACATGTGAAATTCCATGTTTTGGTGATAATAGGTGGCTTATTTGAGTTGTATGCAACTTGATTGATGTATATGAGAAGGATCTATCTAGACCGTTCACCTACTAACTTCCACATCATATCTAATCATCCAAATAGTGATAGTAAATGATAGTTGACTTGTTGTTTATAGATTGAGTAATTCTACAAACGAATATGATAAATCTATATAATTTTAATATTTTCTGTAACTTTTTGTACTTTCATTCTCACACCTATTCAGAATTGGAAAATGAATACAGAAATGAGGCCTGTCAGTTACCCGTTTCTAACAATATACAAGGTAAATTTACTTAATGAGTAGGTCTGTTTCACACTTGCATACACATTCTAATACATGAATTATATTCGTATACTTTATTGTTCATAGAAAATCACCCACATCATAAAGACACATCCATCTGGAATGGAGTTTATCTCAATCAAAACAGATTCTGTTTAATCAGTTACAAAATCTGACGAAAGTATCCACCCTCAAAATGGTTATCCTCTGAAATTCATAAATAGATAGAAAGTCCATGGTACAGTGTGACCTACTGTAGCCTTGGTAGAGAAGTCTGTTTTCATCACTTTACCATTCATAGGTGATTCAAATAACCTGTTATTGAAACAAAGACTTAAATAAGTCATCAATAAGACGTCATTGTCACGGGAAGAACAAGGTGCATGTTTCACCCAAAACCTAAAAGACATGAAAACGATTGTGTCATATCTCACTGTATTTACCAATTTAAATGTGTGTGGTCACACATACATAGGGAGGAGCAATCGTGATCTTAACAATAGGGTGTGTGGACATGTACCAAAATGGCTGCAGAAACAAATACAATCAAGTGACCCAATAAGAGCAGAGGATAAACATCCATTATCCTCTATTGCTAAACATATAATCGAAACAGGCCATAAGATTGATCTAAACTCGGCTTTTGTGGTGTTGTATAAAATAGTGTAAAAGGGCGCATACTAAGGTTTATTGAAGCCTAGCCAAACGAAAATTCAAACCCCCTTTGTGTATTCAAAAACAGTTATTGTTCTTACCTTTAACCTACCCTGGTAATATTAACTTATTATCCACAGTGATTAGGTTTCCAATTATGTTCACATTACTATTATCCGTGTCTCTTCGTACCCCATTTCCAATCTAGTTGACCTTTTATTTTATATATATAAATGGCCTTAGCAATTATATTATGTGTGTGATCAGATTGTTCGAAATGTATTGCGCTAACCTATCACAACATAGTTCTGATAATCTTCGTCATATATTACATTATCGAAATTTATCAAATGGGGCAAACTGTTTTACATTTCTATATATATACACGATTGTAAGCAGATGATGTGTAACCATGGCATGTAATGAATTCATCTTATTCTGCCTCAATTGTTATTCTGGCCTTATTCAACTTCATAAAACGAACTAATAGCATTAAGTTGTACATAAATGTATACTGAATAGAATTCTTCATTTAAACCATCCAAAAGCCCTTCTGATATGAATCAATATATGCTCACTAAGGGCTGGCTTCAAGAAGTATTTCCCGGAGTTCTAGTGAGAAACAGTGACCAGTGAATTTTAACCGGGTCTGTTGTGAAATAGTAACTCACCGATGAAGACAATGGTGGATGTGTCGCTCAATTTCGTGGATTAATTAAAGTTGAACATTAACACCGTTGGATACCGGTCAGCTGAGTGGTCTAGAGGTGAAGCGCTCGCGCGTGAGATCGATAGGTACTGCATTCGAATCTCACGTGGCGAGGTCGTGGATGGGCACCATGGAGGAGTCCCACAATAGGATAGAACGGCAGTCCAGTGCTTCCAGGTTTTCCATGATGGTTCTAGCTTCAATTGACTCATGATCTCAACCACAAAAACCCTTTGATAAAACCTGATATTTGTTAGATATTGTAGACTATTATAACTAATTTTATGTTATTTCAGATATAAAAGTGGTCGACCAATTAATTTCAAAACGATTCTATTATCTAAGAGCATTCAATAAAGAATTATGTAAGTGAAATACTATTTTTCTTTGTACATATATAATTTAAATTCGATGGTGGTTGGAGGTAGTAGACAGGAAATCCTGGACCCAGGTTTCGTGCTACTTGACACTCATCAGCAAGTTGTACTTGTAATCTTAAGGGAACTGGTGCTCCCTGACGGATTCGATCATTACGTGATACATTGATAGGGATATATGGCACAAGTTATAACATCAATGTTTTATTTGTTTTCTAAACTTTTAGTCTATCATCAATATCTATGGAGAATTCTTGAAGAGATTAGTTATCACTAACCAGTTTGTAAGTGATACAACAAAAATTTGATAAACGTTCAAAATAATTGAATAATTTAAAAGTATAAACTTTTGTAAGAAATGATCATTTAGTACCTTCAAATATATATACAAATAATACATATATAGTTTTTTGAAAGGTTGGAGAAGATTTGTACCTCATGTGGATGATTTTGATAGAGTTTTGTTCTCTGAACTGGATGGTTTGTTTACGGAGCTTTCATCGTTATTCTGAACTATATCACCAGCGCAAACATCAGGTGGAAATGTTGATGATGACGATGAAAGCTCCTCGAATAAACCACCCAGCTGAGAAAATAAAACTCCATCAATATATATATATTATAATTCTCGATGAGATTTCCAAATATCATTGTGTAAATAATTGTGATGGATCCAAAGTTTCATTTGAACGAATGAATAGATTGACAGCATTATTTAATCTAATAGTTAAATCCATGAGTCAATTGAAGCAAGACCACCATAGAAAACCTGGAAGCACTGGACATCCATTTCGTCCTAATGTGGAGCTCCTCAGTCGTGTGCATCCACGATTCCGCCTCACGTTATTCGAATCTGGAACCTATCGGTCTCGTGCGAGAACGCTTAACCACTAGACCACTGAGTCGGTGGTAATGTCTAAGTTCAACCAATCCACGAGTTCGAATTTCGCGGGACGGGATCGTGGGTGCGCCCTACTGAGGAGTCCTATATTAAACTCTATCCTTTCTCGCCACAAAGGTCACATTTTTTCATTCCTGACACTGCACACATAGATACACGCACATACAAATTTACATACATATCGCATATCAATCACCTTGATCGAAATCATCTGGCATTGACTTGTTCAGACCTGACTTTCTGATTGATCTCGCAATATTCTTGCTTTGTTCCTTTGTACTATTAATTCATGGATTCGTTTTGATTTGGCTATTTATGTATTTACTCTGAAGAAGTGACTTACACTGTGTCACGAAACATTAGGATATCTGATTTTTCTATTGATTGAGATATCTAGAAATCTCAGAAGGGGTTTTATGAATATCATGGTAATTTTAATAGTTGAGATCATGAGTCAGTTGAAGCTAGATCACCATGTAAAACCTGGAAGCACAAGATGGCCGTTTCGTCTTACTGTGGGACTTCTCAGCAGTACGCGTCCACGATCGCGCCTCATGAGATTCGAACCCAGGATCTATCAGTCTGTGGATGCGCATTGCTGAGGAGTCCCGTATTAGGATGAAAAGGCCGCACAGTGCTTCCAGGTGTTCCATCGTGGTCTAGCTCCAATTGATCCATGAACTCAACTATTTAAATCTAGAAATCTATTATTTTTATTTGTAAATATTTTATATCTCAATTTCAGAAACTATTGAACAATGAATGAACAAGGTCACAATTCCCAAAATATTTCTCACAATAAATTATTTCATCACTAAAAAATATGTTTTTAATTAGAGCAGCGATGAGTGGAGTTCAACCAGGTCTGTTGTGAGATAGTAACTCAATGATGTCAATGGTGGATGTGTCGCTCAGTTTCGTAGACTACTTAAAGTTGGACATTAAAACTGTTGGATACCTGCCGGCTAAGTAATCTAGAGGTTAAGCGTTCGCACGCGAGATCAATAGGTCGTGGGTTCAAATTTCGTGGAGCGGGATCGCGGATGCGCACTATTGAGGAGTCCCACAATAGGATAAAACGGCAGTCCAGTGATTTCAGGTTTTCCATGGTGGTCTAGCTTTAACTGATTCATGATCTCAACTATTAAGTTAGAATTTGATTTGATGAAGAAGTAGTAGCATTGTATTAGTAACAGTAATAGTATAGTGAACGAGAATTTAGGTGAGGATGACCAATTCATAATTTGAGGCGAAATACATGAACTGCACATCTTACATCAATAGTCTCTTGGAACAGTTCATCGTTCTTTCATTCCTGTTGTTATTGCAATTGCCCTCTGTTCACATTTCTGTTCTCTTCAATTTGATCTTCTCAATCTTCTACTATCAGGCATGCACCATAATAATAATAATGATAATAATAATAATAATAATAATAATAGTATTGGTATATTATATCTATCAGATGGGTCAGACATCCAAGTTACTCAAGATTAAACTCCTTTCGCCTCTCAACATTCAGCTAATGCCATTTTGTCCCGACAGTATAGAAGTCTGCTTCCGCTACACAGAAGCTGGCTTCCACGAGCACGCGTGACAGAACCACATGCACAATTCCTCTCGGTGGTGAAAGCACTACCATGTGATTTTAAAAATACGTTACATCCAGTATGTGTACTAGCGATGTTTTGCAACATTATGAAAATTTAAAATTCACTATTCATAGGTGTGAAGCCTTAACCGGTCGACAAATAATAGACGAACTGTTCCACAACATCGAGCTGCAAAGTGGTTCAGCAACAGAAATGTTGCTAGGAATGTGAGAGGTCATTGTTCAACGAACATTCGACGATGGTCTGTTTAGACAGCTTTTCTCAACCAAGCCCCCCCCCCCCAATAGGTGCAGGCAGTGCTTGTCTCATTCCGGAATAATGCTGCAGACGAACTGGATGCATCTACCGACCGGATTATAGAGATCATCAGAACTCCCGGTTTCCAGGTTTATTCTGTCAAACAAAAGCCCCAAACAATACAAAATGACGTCACAGACCTCGGTCACATTCCCACACGTTACCTTAATATTCATCATGACCGTAGACGCTCCAAAACTCCTCGAACGAGTTCTCCACCAAAACGATCAAGGGAGACAGATAATCCTGATTGTTTTTGATACCATAATAAATGTGGTAAGTCATCTTGAAATTGCATAAAACCCTACAGTTTCTGAAGCTTCAAATTATTCAACACGGACAGCTCTTTGGGAAACTCCTCCGTCGGCACAAGTTAACACCAACCATAGCCAACAAACACAGCCGTTTGTTACTCATCACTGACATCATAAAGAAATTTCACTATCTCATCTATACTGATACAAAAGCAATAGTACATGTAGTGTGACTTCGAACATGAAACTATTAACCCGATTGAATCAATATGAATTTAATTCATATTAAATTTTATATAGTAACACTGAAGACAAATGCTTTAATTCAGCCTTGTGAACCACATCGATATACTTCAGTTCTCTGAACACTGTTAGCATTTCCTAATATACCTGATGTTAGGCCCTTTAATGTTATCAACAGACTTATTAATTTAGTGATCCTATATCTCGATCCCCTTAGATCATTTCTGATTGTCATCGAGATATACATATTGCCAACTCTCGTATATAATCATCGACTTTAATCACATTAGTGAATAATGGAATAAAGTACATGAAATACCAGAATGAATTCCCTACAATCATTGATCTGAACAGATAATCAGGGAAATAAAGCAAAGGAAGCAAATAGAAAAGAATGGAATGAAGAGAAACCAGATGAAATAATGTGAACTAAATAGGTGAGTGAGCCAATTCATTCTGATTAAACGTGACTCAACCTGTCCTATTGCAGATTAAAGGGAGATCTAATATTGATGTACAGAATACTGAGAAATGATTTTGGACCTAACTTACTCTCTCTTTTTCTTCCCACTAGATCAAGACATCTCAGAGGACATAGCAGGCGAGTAAAAAAGCCAAGAACGAACAAAATACCAGTGGCATACAGGTTTTCACATCGAGTCATCAATACTTGGAACCTGCTGCCCAAAATAGTGGTGTCCGCACCTTCAATTGACTCTTTCAAGCGAAGTTTGGACACTCACAGAAGCATACTAGAAAAGGAAAAACACAGGCCGTAGGTCTTCTGTCCTTACTATACATATCAGAATCTGACTCAATATTTATATTCAAACGTGTATATCTCATGCCAAATATAATAATAATAATAATAATAATAATAATAATAATAATAATAATAATATTGTTTATACAAGATGTCAAGTTTCATTGATATGACCTTATAGTAAACAAATATGTATTCTAGACAATAACATTGTCTAGTATATGAATATAATACATAATTCTGAACCATTTGTCGTCTATAATTGACTACATCTATATATATTGTTTACTTTAAATGAAGAGGAGACCTTCTTTTTCATTCTACTTCTATATTATATAATAATTGACAGTGATTATGTAATGATCTATTTCAAAAGGAATAGTTTACCGCCATCGATTGAAGATAATATTGTAGTAAATAATAGAATGAGACATTGAATTATTGTTATATATTGAGATGAATTATATAATTATGACTTTATTGAAATGAAGTTCTCTTTTTTGGTCTTACTTTTAACTATTTCAGTAGTATATAAACTTGACTTACTTACTTGGTTAGCGTTTTTTAGCGAGTTAGTTTTCTACGGTATGGAGTCGCTAACCCTATGCCCAACTCTCTTCCTTTATCTGGGCTTGGGACCGGCAGTAGCCCCCGGAGGGACTCCAGGCGGAGTTATATAAACTTGACGCTATTGATTATAAAGTGATAATGGTAAGTCGACCCTAAGATGAAGTCTTAGTTTGTAGAAGAAGAAGAAAGGGTGAGACTATAATTTATGAACGACTATTGAGCGACGCTAAAGTAACCATGAAAGTGTACACCTAATAACTAGGACAAAATAAAGATTATAAACTAGTATAAGGAAATAGAATCATGATTTGTAGTTGATGGTTAGGGTTAGGAATTTGATTTAGGGTTTTCATCACGAACTGGCATCAGTTATAATGCCAAGACTCTATTTCGTGCGAAAATTTGAAACTTTTTATCTTATACTTGATTGGTTCGTCCATAAATTATAGGTTCACCAAAGAAAGATGTTTTGGGTGATCAAAAGTATTCTAAAATGGTGTTGAAAACACTGAGAAACATTTTATCCAATGAGCGTTGTACAGACGTTTCTCAGAAATATCTAGATAATGAAGAGTTACATGTCCTATTTATGATTATCTATCATGCAACTATGTTCAATATGGTTCCACAAACTTTTAGAAGCTCAAGACTATCTGAAATATACTATAAATATCATCGATTTTCTGTACATAAACTAACCTAGAAGTAAAACGTCTCTTTTTCACACTTTGAGTATACTTTCATTTACAAATCGTCGTGTAGATTTCGTCTGAGATTATTAGAACTTAGGAAACTGATTCATATGTTCACTTAGAAGACTTATCACTTACTGTGTACAGGATATTATATTGTGCAGTAATCAACCCATGAAGGTCGATAGTATCTTTGAGAATGTTCATGTTGTCGTACATAATAAGGTGATCATTCGCATTGTTATAAGCCAAAGACTTTTTTTACCTTTTATACAGGGGTTCAAATGGCCTTAACTCCATATTTATAATTATATTGATCTCGATGTTCAAGTAACAGTGATTTCTTATTCAGTAATGAATCTAGTACTGTGACTATAGTAGAAAAGAGAAATTTACTTACACTAATTCCATTCACTTTGTCGATAGTATCTCTAGATTTTAAATGGTCAGTTATGTTTTGTGCATAATGGGAATCTTGAGGTAAGATGGAGACTACTAGACTAAGATGGTAAATCGTTTGATGCAGTATTGAGTGATCATCGACTAAGGTGCCATAGACATATATTACTTATACCTGACCATCATCTACATCTTTATACATCATGGGTTGGTGTAAGAGTAATCTGGAAAAACATGATATTAGTGTATAAAATGATTCACTGTTGAAATGAGCTGTGTTGATTGACGCAAACAACATGACTGAAGTTCTTACGATTACCTTAATAAATGGTTGGATAAATATGATACACAATCGATTGTAATAAAATACATACATTCACTCTTAATCTGAGCTTGGATCCAAAGTTTCCAAATAACCTTATATTTCTTACTCAGTGAATTTATCCTCTCTTCTTGAACAATAATGTCTATTCTAAATGTTCGCTACTACCATCGATACCATAACTACATATACTACGTGAGATTTGTTTGGATAATTTTCTCTCTTGTGACCAAGATGATTAGGAGTTGATATGTGCTAGATTTTACGTTGAATATGAAAAGTGTCATTCTTGATTGTGATCAGCTCATCTGTATACTATACTTTTACCATTGCGATTCACTTATAATCAATTTAAAATATCGAAACCTCAATGTAACAATCAAATCCAAAACTTCCTAGGAAGAAATTGTCCTTAAAAATTACTAAATAATTAGTCATCATAGTTTAAATCACGAACTGATCTTGACTGAAACATGCTTAAAAATCTGGAAGTACTAGACAAATGTTTCGTCCTACTATGAAAGTGTTCAACAATGAGTATCCAAGATCCCTCCTCATCTATGAATCAAACCAATCACCTTTAGTTATACATACGAATACTTATCCTCTAGATCACGGAGCTGTAATCTAATGTACTGCCCCCAAATGCCCTGGTACGGCCAGGAGTGGGGAGAGTCCGCTCCCCTTCTCCAAATGCTCTCACATGTCCACGCGTATATAGGCTCTGCCACGAAAGTCCTACTCACTGCCTTCTCGTGGCGGGGGTGTTGTTTACGAAAATGAGATGACGAAAAGCGAATTTCCGGAGCTTTAACCGGATCCCAAACCAATGGTGCACATGGAAGGAACAAATGGCGTATGAACCAATCGTTGGTCACCGACTACCATGGGACTGCATCTCCTTACCATGCTCCACTGCCTTGTGGATCAGATGTTCAGGTCGAAGGCTCCGGGTGTGTTTCTCTAAGTGAACCACCTGCTTCGGTCTGGGCATCCGGACAGTATCAAAGCCTTCACACATATCAAATGAGATATGTGTGGCGCATATGTACCTCCATGCCTCCATGTACCAATATCTATGTGTTAAAATAATAATAATAATAATAAAATCTAATGTACTACTACATAACTGACTAACTTCAATCAATTCCATCTTAAAACTGATTACTTGATATGTAAACATTTCTCTGATTGATCGACAGAACTAAAATGTATTCATTTCACAAATGTTAGAAGGCTATCATCATCAAGCGTCAAAATATTGATTTTTTATCCATCCACGATAAATTACAAAATAATATACTTTATAAAATAATTTCCCCAACCGGCGACCTGCTTGAATATCTGGGCTACCTGTTCCTCCCATCTAGATATTTCGTCAAGTGATCTGTTTTCTTCTTAGTTTTAACACATTATTATGTCCATTGAGCTCACAACCTATTCAGGCACGTTTATGAAAAGTTTACAACCTTTCGCTGTACAGATTTAAAAAAAAAAGGTACAACCAGAGACATCATAGTGGTTTGCAATATGCATTGGGCGAGACTCTAATTTAGGGACGACCTTTGAACGAATTTTGAGTGACCTTGAGAATATTAGCCAATCAGAAGGCACCTAGTGTAACGTAGAAATATATCAGAAGGTACTAATGGATTACAGTGAATATACTTATTTTGCATGATTTAAAAACTTATCAATGTTTGCTAAAGTTTCAGATGTTTTGAAATGATATTGCATACGGTATAAAAAGTCATAAATTCCAAGTACCTGTCGAGTATATTCACGGAAATGCTACTTACACAATCCTACTTTATACTACGTCCCCTGTTGTATTTTAGCTTTCTCACTGCCGTTTCATCTGTCTGCACGATACATCCTACTCCTCAGAATGATTGGTGTATACGTGTTATTTTAGTTGCACATATGTCACGGCAGTACTTATACCACTGGACTGCTGAAGTTTCATAAACAACTGCAAATGCCGCATCCAGTGTTACTGGTGTATTTATTACCCAATTTGCAACTATTATCATAATCTGATTCAGTTTCAGTAGCAATCGAGCTAAGAAAGTCCTCGTTTTAGTAGACTTTCTCATCCAACATGAAGGACAACGAAATATAATCTCACCACGGTTATTTGCACACTTTACTGCAGTCATTTGATAACCGCAGCCTCACGTACAAGAACTTTTTAGTAATCCCATCCCTTGTAGCCTCTCAATAATCACCCTTCTCTAAAATCCGCTGTAAACCGATCATACGTGAGCATCAGGTGTTAAACTTGGCTCCATGACCTTGAAACAGCTCAAACGTTTCTGATTGGCTCGTCCCTAAATTAGAGTCTCGCCATGCATTGAAACGAATGAACATTATTCAAATGTCGATTACCGAACTCCTAACATCTAACTGGCCATTACTTAATATTTATCGTCAGGATCGATCAAGATATAAGAAACAGGAAACCTGTTGAAATACTTTATGCTGAGAATTCTATATTGTACCAAAAATATAATATTGAATAAAGCTTATAATAATAATAATAATAATAATAATAATAATAATAATAACAATACTCATCTTTCAGGATATCATCAATCCTTATATACATTCTCCCTTGTGTTTTTTTTTTTACACACTAACAATGCCATACAACGTGGTGATAAAACTGGATCAAATATACGTATATAACCAGAATATTGATAAAAATCTTCATGATTATATTTTTCATGAATATTACCATATTCTCTAAGATACCATAAACGATCAAATAATATAATTGTTTCAAGTAATGGTTGAAATAATTGTTGTAAAGCTAATAGACCTGGTATTATATTCCATATTTGTTCAAAATAATCATAATATTCTAGGAAAGATGGATCATTATTAATTAATGGATTATTACATAATAGAATATCTTTTAGATAGTTTTGACAAAACATAATAATATGTTGATATATATCATTGAAATGAATTGATTGAAGATTAGTATTCATAGCTAATAATTTCTTGATTGGATCATATTGTATCACTGGATCAAATCGTTTATATCGTTCAAATATCATAGATACATTGTTATATTTAATCAATATAATATCTAAAATTATACGAGACAATACACGTATACGATGTTTATTTGTATCTAATTCTGTCCAATTTAACCATGTTAATGGTGAATGTTGACAGGCTAAACGTAGTGTAGCTGGTTTAATACATTTTTCAATAAAGTTCCAATCACAATTTAACATAGATTTACGTAAGTAATCACTTGTAGGAAACTAAATAAATGGAAATTAAAACAAGAAAACAAACAAACAAACAAACAAAACACCCCAATAAGAGGTTCTAATATTTTCACATATTCTATGTCAAACTTATCATAAGTGATTAGCTAAATATCTATAAGAAACAAAATTGGCAAAGTAAGAATAGCAATATCTACAATTGAAGAACATCTAGAACTTAAAACAATTGTCAACCAACATCAAAGTCAGAATTTTCAATACAAATGTCAAGACAGTTGTGTACTGTATGGGGTGGGAACTTTGAGAACTACGAAAGTCATCGTCTAGAAGATACAAGTGTTTATTAACAGTTGTCTACAAAAAATATTTTGGAACTGTTGACCAGACAATATCAGCAACAACCTACTATGGGATAGAACAAACGAGATTTCAGTGGACGGAGAAATCAGGAATAAGCGCTGGATGTGGATAAGATTCACATTGAGGAAAGCATACAACTACATCACAAAGCAAATTGTCACATGGAATCTTCAAGGCCAAAGGATGACCAAAAAACAAATTACGCCAAGAAGTGGAGAGAGACATGAAAAGAATGAACAAAAATTGGATAAAACTAGAAGCAAAGGTCCAGGACAGAATGGTGGTCTATGCTCCATTAGGAGTAACAGGCGAAAGTAAATAAGTAAGTAACAGAAAAAAACCACAAAACTGAGAATATTTGATTGAAAACATATTTGCCAAGTACTAAATTATACAATCAGCTTTTCAAATAAACTTTTCATTAAACAAGAATTGATACAATGACGCTGCTTAGATTGAGTACGATAGATGGACATATTAGGTTGGAACTAAGCGGATCGCATTCAAGTGTTTAAATCATTCATGTAAAACTCAACACATCTTTTGTTGAAGTTAAATGATAACAAAAGGCACGTAGAGATAACATGATTGAAAAAACACACCGAATCAGTACTTCGAATACTTAAGAATGCATCCAAATAAAACCAGATGTTTTATTCCGATTTTAAAACTCCTCTTCAGTGTAAACCAGTGAATGGGCCAAACGCCCTGGTACGACTGAGAGTGGGGAGAGTTAGCTCTCCCTCTCCGAATGCTCTCACATGGCCACGTGCATACAACCACTCCCATAGAAGTCCTATTCACTGCCTTCTCGCGACATTACTGTTGTTTACGAAATTGAGAGGACGAAAGGTGAATGTCCGATGCTTTAACCGGGTCGGTGAATATGGAGGATCCACCTAGGAGGGTTGGAAAACCCGTATTCCAAGTCAATGGTGCACATGGGCCCCAGGATCCTGAGAGAAAGAATTGCGTATGAGCTAATGGTTGATCACCAGCTACCATGGAACTGCATCTCCTTACGTTCCTCCACTGCTTTGTGAATCAGAAGTTGGAAATATGAATAGTTTAATAACAACTAAGTTACCTAAAAGTAACTAACGGTTTTGAGTTCGATACCAAATATGGTTGTAGGTGAATGCTTTTGAGAAGTCCACAACTAGCAGGAAACAGAACTTTAATCCTCTCATTTGTTTTTAATGATTTACAACCAAACCAATTAAAACCAAGCAATCAACACAAACTTTCTATCTTGGAAGTAAACAAAATCTAAATTTTATATTTTCCATAATACATTTTACCTAACTTATAAATCTGTTAAAGAGTTTCAATGTAATATCGAAAATAACCCAACAATATTAATAGAATGGAGGTTTTGTAGGGATTAGAGTAATTGTAATAGTTGAGTTCATGAGTCGATCTAAACTAGACTACCATTGAAAACCTGAAAGCACTTTACAGCCATTTTGTCTTAGTATGAGACTGCTCAGCAGAGTGCATTCACAATCCCGCACGAAGCCGAAGGTCCTGGGTTCAAGTCCTGCATGTGAAATCATGGATGAGTACTACTGAGCAGTCCCACATTAGGACGAAACGGCTGTACAGTACTTTCAGGTTCTCAATGGTAGTCTAGCATAGATCGATTAATGAATGAATGATCAACTAATTAATATCCTTACCTTTTCTACTGTCATTTTATGATAACAACATCCGACTAATAGTAGAATTTGTGCTGAACAATCTTGATGAAATAATTCAATCATAGATTGACTTAAATCTCCACAACAATGTAAACCAAGTAATAAGTAATTATAACCAGAAGTGAATTGATGAAGTCTGCAAAATAAAGAGAGAATATACCTGTTTAGATGATAAATGAAATACTCGTATAGAACTGGAAGACTTCAAAAAATTTACAATAATTAATTGAGTCAATTCATTGAAATTGAATTCAGATAGATAATATTTTGAAGAAACCCCGCCTGGAACCCCTCTGGAGCTACTGCCGGTTCCAATCCCAGATAAAGGAGGAGGGTCAGGCACGGGGTTAGCGACCCGATCCCGTAAAAAACTGACTCGCTAAAATAACGCTAACCAGAAATATTGTGGAGTTGTATCAGTTGGTTATTAAACAGTAGTGATATTTTGTGTATTCCATAAGCTTTATGGAGAGTAATATATCAAATTAAATAGATCAAATTTAAAGAGAATAATTGAAACATTAGCTTACAATCTTATTGGTTAAATAAATGGTAGACTGAAATACTGAACAATTAAGGACATAATTTCTATTTTATTTATTTGAGTACATAAGTATTGGTACAAAGGGGCACTGAATATATATACGCCACAGAAGTCACTTGATTTGAGTGTGGGCTATGACACTGGCCGGGTGTTCAAACCGAAGCAGGTAGTTTCCTTAGGGGGCCACAAATGGAGCCTTTGACCTAAAGGTCTCATCCACAAGGCAGTGGAGAAACGTCAGGAGATGCAATCCCATGGTATTCGGTGACCAACAATAGGTGCACACGCCACTTTTTCCTTCAGGGTACTGCAGCCCATGTGCAGTGGTTTTCCAACTCCCCTAGGTGAATACCCCATACCTACTAACCCGGTTAAAGCGCCGAACATTCAACTTTCGTCCTCTTAATTACGTAAACAACACCACCGCCGTGAGAATGCAGTGAGTAGCACTTACTTGGCAGTGGCTGTATACACGTGGCCATGTGAGAGTATTTCTAGAGGGAGAGTGGACTTTCCCCACCCTTGACCGTACCACGGCACTTGAAGGCACAACCTATTTAAGAAATATACTGACGATACCATCCCAAAGATCTGACAGATAAGAAAAGTTACATTATCAAATGTAATGATGTTTACCAGAAAAGGTAACAATAATTTGAAAGAACAGGGTAATCAGCTTAAGAAGAAACAGTTTCAATATCTTAATTGAAATGCTTCAGTTCAGAAATCCTGGAAGTGATCAACATGAAAAACGATGAATTATAGATGAAATTAACTTAAAAACCGAGTATAAAATAGCCTATATCTGACAGTGGTTAGAACAATGGATTCTATGAAGTGTGCTTGATTCATTATAATCAGTTAAATAAGTCGAAAAAGACTGGAACCTAGAATTTATCGCTTTCAGCACAGAATCACCGAAATGAAACACCAGACAATCAATACTAATATTTATACGGCTCTATATTTTCAAGTCGCTAATGTCACAAACCTTATATATATATATATATATATATATATATATATATATATACGTCCTGAATGGATTGCTTCATGATTGTTGACTGGATTCAGTAGCTAGATGGACAATGAGATGGTGTTTGTAGCAAAAGATACTGAATTCAGGTCAAATTATCACTCGAATATTAAGTACAGTAGGTCCAGCTGAAGGGTGACGAAAAGAAGAAAATGCGAGTTTCAATTTCTCTACTAGCTACTATCCAACTTAACAATACATTCTTTTGTATTAAATTAAACGCTATTCATCTAAGGATTATTTTAATGTTATAACATACTTACGTACTTACTTACGCCTGTTACTCCCAATGGAGCATAGGTCACCGACCAGCATTCTCCAACCCACTCTGTCCTGGGCCTTCTTTTCTATTTCTATCCAATTCTTGTTCATTTTTCTCATGTCTATCTCCATTTCCCGGCGTAATGTGTTCTTTGGTCTTCCTCTCTTCCTTCGTTCTTGAGAATTCCATGTGAGGGCTTGTCTTGTGATGCAGTTCGTTGCTTTCCTCGATGTGTGTCCTATCCATTTCCAGCGCTTCTTCCTGATTTCTTCATCCACTGGGATCTGATTTGTTCTCTCCCTCAGTAGGTTGTTGCTAATAGTGTCCGGCCAACGGATCCAAAGTATTTTGCGTAAAGAACTGTTAATTAACACCTGTATCTTCTAGATGATGGCTTTCGTGGTTTTCCAGGTTTCGGCCCCATACAGTAGAACTGTCTTCACATTTGTATTGAAAATCCTGACTTTGGTGTTGGTTGCCAATTGTTTTGAGTTCCAGATATACTTCAGTTGTAAATATGCTGCTCTTGCTTAGCCGATCCGTGCCCTTACATCTGCATCAGATCCACTGTGTTCATCGATGATGCTGCCCAAATATGTAAAGGTTTTTACATCTTCCAAATCTTCTCCGTCAATTGTGATTGGATTGTTGCATGCTGCGTTGTATCGGAGAATCTTGTTTTTCCCTTTGTGTATATTGAGACCTATTGCTTCTGAGGTTGCTGCTACACTGGTCGTCTTCTCCTGCATTTGTTGTTGTGTAAGCGATAGAAGAGCCAGATCATATGCGAAGTCTAGATCATCCAACTGCATCCTAGATGTCCACTGTATTCCGTGCTTCCCTTCAGATGTTGACGTCTTCATGATCCAGTCGATCACCAGGATTGTTATAACATACTATTGAATTAATTTTAAGTAGTTTAAAAGAGTTAAACTAATTTGCAAGAATTAACCAACCTTGTTTGTAACAAACCTAAATTTGTCGATTCAACACGAAATAATAATCGTTTCACAACTGAAGTTAAAGATTTCACTTGAAATATTGAATTGTATTGGCTTAAATTTGTCAAAGCTTTGCGATGTAAATTCTCGTCACATTCAACTGCAATAATTTGAGGTTCTGTAAATAAATCCCCATACTTAAGTATTAAATGATAACCAATATAATTAGATAAATAGCCTAATCCAGAACCAATATCAATAATCTTAAGTGGGATGCTTGAATTTCGATCTATAAAACAGTAAATCATAAAGGTGAAAGTATAAATCATAAGATAATAAAAAGTTATTATCTGAAAGGGTTTTTGTGGAGATTTCAGTTATTTCAATAGTTGAAATCATGAGTCAGTTGAAGCTAGACCACCATGGAAAACCTGGAAGTATTGAACTCTTCAGTAGTGCGCACCCATGACCCCGCCTCGCGGGATTCAAATCCAGGACCTACTGGTCTCGCGCGCGAGCAATTAACCACTAGACCACCGAGCCGGCATCCAACGGTGTTAATGTCTAACTTCAACTAATCCACGAAATTGAGTGACACATCCACCATTGTCTTCAGTGAGTTACTATCTCACAAGCGACCCGGTTCGAAACCCGCAAGGCGGGATCGTGGATGCTCACTGCCACGGAGGAGTCCCATACGAGGACGAAACGGCCGTCCAGTGCTTCCAGGTTTTTCATGATGGTCTAGCTTCAATTGACTCATGATCTCAACAATCAAAGTTATTATCTGCTACTATAAAGTACATTTAATAATGTTAAACGTATCAGATGCTAAATTCTTACTGTTTAGATTGTATATAACACGTAAATCAAACAAAATCTAAATTGCTCACTTTCAATCTTGATCCGAACTCCAAATGTTTAATCCTAACTCTGGATAATTAAACGTAGGAATGGTTAATCAATAGTTCTGAATTTGGGACTTTAATAAAAAGAAAAGGTTTTATCCTTCTTATAGCCGCTGTAACTATCAATATGATTATGAATGGGCTTATCAACATCATATCTTATATTCAGCAAAAGGTGTTTAACCACACTACGAAGACTTCGGTATCCTCGAAAATATAGGTTCTTTGGAATAGGTATTCAGTAAAATGCTTCCAGGTTTTCCATGGTGGTCTAGCTTCAATGGATTCATGATTTCAACCAGTGAAATTTCTAAAATCTCCACACAATCCCTTCTGATAATAAAACGCGTAAATGTCAACTTTTTTATCTTTCAAACAATTCACTGTTCTCTAATTGAACAATCATCTTAAACATTTCAGACAAAACTAAACTTTCATAGTTTACTATTAGTGAACAAGTGTACTAAATTGACTGGAATTATGTAATATGTGTAATTGATTACTTTTTCAATTGTCTGCAATATGTAATCACATTTTAAGTAGAAGTGATTATTTAACTTAATCAATTCATTATATCGGTTAATGACAGATGCTCAATTCAATTTTTATTATTTATTTAAACATATAAACATTGGTACAAGGAGGTACCAAATACGTATGCGCCACACAAATCGAACGAGATTTGTGTGAGGGCTGTGATACTGCCCGGGTGCCCAAATCGAAGCAGGTGGTTTCCGTAGGGAACCACATCCGGATCCTTCGATCTAAAGGTCTGATTCACAAAGCAGTGGAGCAAAGTAAGGAGATGCAATCCCATAGTAACCGATAACCAACGATTGGTTCATACGCCATTTGTTTCTTTAGGATACTAGAGACCATGTGCAATATTGGTTTGAAATCACGGTTTTCGAACACCCCTAGATGAACCCTCCATGTCCACCAAAACCGGTTAAAGAGCCAAACATTCGCTTAATTCAATGATATGGCAAAAATATGTGTTCATACAATATAGGTTACTAATAGATTAGTGTTATATATTACTCTGTGCAATTTATATAAATAAATCTGACGGTTAATCAGATTCGAAATAAATCTTATTCAAAGTAGTGTATTCATGTATTCGTATATATATCGTCTTCACATTCTTACTAGAGTTATTCAATTAAAGTATTTCTCAGTACCAACACCATGTACCAAGTCATTTAAATATTCCCGCGGGCGGGATCGTGCATGCGCACTGCTGAGGAGTCCCACAATAGGACGAAACGGCCGTCCAGTGCTTCCAGGTTTTCAATGGTGGTCTAACATCAATCAGTTCATGATCTCAATCAAAAACTTGACAATCTCCACAACACCTAAATTGATAATTACAACGTGCTCATTAGTGACCAGCTTCGTGAGGGAAGTCTCGGAGTTCTGGTGAGAAGTCGTGGCCAGTGGAGCTAATCCGTGTCGGGTAGAAATAAGTGTCTACCTCAGTACAATGGAAGATGGTCGCGCAACTTCGTGGATTGGTTGAGGTTAGACATTAACATCGTTGGATGCCGCCTCAGTGGTCGAGTAGGTTAAGCGTTCGCGAGCGAGACTGAGGGCCCTGGGTTCGAATTATTATTTATTTATTTGAACACATAAATATTGGTACAGGGGGGCACCAAATATATATGCGCCACACAAAACAGTGATAATTAGAAGAGAAGGAGAAAAGAGAAGAAAAAAAAAAAAGTAATGAACGTGGGGAATTATAAAAAAAAAGAAGAGAGAGAGAGAGAACAATGGTGGGGGAAACGGAAAGGTACAATCAGAACAGATCTTTCAGTTAAGGAAGAATACGACCACCTTTTTATGAAGAAAGTAAAAGAAGGTTACAGCAGGATCGCCACTGGCTTCTATTCTGAGCCATATCTGATAACGTCTCTAGCCACTGCGTTACACCATCTCTCGGACCCCAACCAGGGAGTCGTGAAGGACCAACATAAGCTAGCCCTTTGCAGCTTTCTTTCATACCACGACACCATGTCATATACTGACCACCTCTCCGCTTTTTCCAACCAGTCCCAGAGTCGGCAAATAATGCACGACGAGGAATTCTCTGGGACGACATTCGTAGAACATGTCCAAGCCACCGAAGTCGGTGTTTCAAGATGGTGACACCAATTTCATTATCGTCTCTGTGACCGAACACTCGATGCCGAACCTCTGCATTACTGACATGGTGTTGCCACTGGATGCCAGCAATCCTTCGGAGGCAACGATGATCGAACACAGAGAGTCGTCGAACATCCTCAACTCGGAGAGGCCAGGTTTCACAAGCATAGAGCAAAACTGCTCTCACCGTCGCGTTGTAGATCCGACCTTTTACAGCCAGACTAACATCACGAAGGCGCCAAAGATGGCCCAGATTGGCATAAGCCGCTCTGGCTTTCACTATACGTGCATTGATCTCATCACTCACGCCACCACCAGCACTTATGCAGCTACCTAGATACACGAACTTCTCGACTACTTCAATCTGCTCACCATCCAGAGTGAGTACAGGATTAGAATCCTGCCAGTCTTGTAGAAGTACTTTGCACTTCGAAGGTGCAAAGCACATACCATACCTACGGACACTGATTGCCAACTGATTAAGTGCGGATTGCATGGCTTGGGCATTCTCGCACAGTAAGACAATATCATCCGCATACTCAAGGTCGAGAAGTCTTTCTCCAGGCAACAGATCCACACCACCATTACTTACATCCGTCAGAGCTGTTTCCAGAATGTCATCGATGGCAAAGTTGAAGAGGAATGGTGAGATTGGGCAACCCTGCCTAACTCCACTGCTTGAATGGAATAGTGGAGAAAGGTGGTTGTATGCCCTCACTCTACCTGAGGTGTTTGTATATAAGGCTTTTAGGATGTTAATAAACTTCTCAGGCACACCCTTCTTCAATAGACAATCCCAGAGAACAGTTCTGTCCAACGAATCGAAAGCAGCCTTGATATCAAGAAACACTACGATTGTTGGCCTTTGATAAGTATGGCGGTGTTCTAACACTTGGCGGAGGGTGAAGATATGATCAATACATCCTCGACCAGAACGAAACCCAGCCTGCTCCTCGCGAGTCAATCCTTCTCGGGTTCTGAACAACCTACGAAGTATGACGGAAGCCAATAGCTTGGACGCAATCGGAAGTAGACTTATCCCCCGATAGTTGTTACAGGAACAACGTGAACCCTTTTTAAAGATAGGGACAACTATCGACTCATTCCATGACGTTGGTACACTCTCTAGTTCCCAGATCTTTGTAAACAACGTCGTCAGTCCTTTAGTCAGAAAGTCACCACCATCTTTAAAAAGAGCCGGGGGTAAGTCGTCTGGGCCTGGTGATTTGTAACGTTTCAAGAGTTGGAGTTCCTTGCGGACTTCCGCCTCATTTGGTGGATCAGTCGTCACCGGCCAAGGAGGGCAGGACAGTCTGACCGATGTTGCCGGAGCAGCAGGCCAGTTGAACTGCCCTTCAAAGAATTCTGCCCATCGTCCAAGACGTCGATGGATGTTAGTGATTGGCGTTCCGTCATCCTCGCAGATTGTTTCGCTCACACCAGACTTCTTGCTGCCAGTGGCTCGGATGAGTTGGAAGAGCTTCCGGTAATTACCAGATGCAGCTGCTGCTTCCAACTCACTGGCACGCTCCGACCACCAGGTTTCTCGGTCCTTACGCAAGCTTTGCCCGATTTCATTACGTAACAACCTTCGTCTGTGGTCGAACTCACGGTCACCCGGAGTAGACCGACGGGCTTCAATCAGTTGTAAGGAACCAGAAGAAACCCAGTGCTTGTAAGCGGGACGTTTCGCAATCCCACAGCTGACTTGACCCGCCATTTTCATGGCGTCATGCAATTGCAACCAATGCTCATCTATACTTTTCGGTGGAATAGTGGCTAGCCTAGAAGCTAGCTCGGTTCGGTACTTACTAGCAACAGAAGTTGCAGCAAGCTTGCTAACATCAATCCTGTGGTGGCGGTCACTTCGTTGTCCACTGAAAAGTAAGGTAAGATTGGCGCAGACCAGAGCATGATCAGATTCCAGATAGGTACTCCAAAAGGAGCGGCAGTCTTGTACACAACCGCGCCAGCGGTAGCTGATCGCGATGTGATCAATCTGAGTCCAGGCTTGAGATGCAGAAGGGGGACGCCAGGTGGCACATCGGCGATGACTGTGCCGAAAGTTAGTGCTAGCCAGAAACAGGTTGTGGTCTGTGCATAGTTGCAGTAGACGTTCCCCGTTATCTGTCCTGCGACCAACGAGTCCCCATCGGCCACCTAAACGACTCTCTTCTGTGCCTAGACGCCCGACCTGAGCATTCAAGTCTCCAGCTAGTACTACAATATCTGTCGAACGCACTTTCTGGAGAAGAACAGATAACTGGTGGTAGAACTCATCCTTGATTGCATCCGGGCTGCAATCTGTCGGGGCATAGGCGGAGATGACGAAAAGACATCGTTTCTCACGCCGATTTCTTCTCACTCTGATGGTACTTTCTAATCTAACAGCACATAACCGACTGTTAATGGGGATCCAGTCGACTAGTGCTGCCTCAGCTCTAGCGCTTAGTGCGACACCAACGCCAGCAAGACCAGACGAAGATGCCACAGGGTCCCCGGATAAACGCACGTAAAACAAGCTTTTTGGAGCGACAGATGGAGAGCGAACTTGTAGTACTTCACCAGAGTCTTGAATACGGGTCTCGGATAGACAACACACATCAATATTAAGACTTTCCAAAGACATTGCCAGCCCTATCTGTTGTCCGACCTGCATAAGTGTGCGAACGTTAAAGGCAGCCAGTTTGAATGGTGCGCGTGGTTTCAGAAAGACTGCTTCAGTACTCGTATTCGATGGTAACATACAATTTTCAAACCAGGCAGTGACTCGAGAACGTTTAGATAAAGCTGAATTTTTACCATAGGCGAGCTGCTGTCTGGGTCGAAACGGATACAAAAAGTAGAAATAGGAGATAGTGAGTAAATGACGTAGTAAGTAATAATAATAATAATAATAATAATAATAATAGTATCAGTCATTTCAATGTTAGTCAGAGAAGAACGAATATTTTCCGTAAGCGAATATTTCATCATGTTTTGGTGTGTGGGCTGAGATACTGCCCGGGTGCCCAAACCGAAGCAGGTGGTTTTCTTAGGGGGCCACACCCCGAGCCTTTGACCTAAAGGTCTAACCCACAAGGCAGTGGAGCATCGTGAGGAGATGCAGTCCCATGGAAGCCGGTGACCAAAAGTTGGTTCATACGCCATTTGTTCCTTCAGGATACTGGAGCCCATGTGCACCATAGAATTGGGATCCGGTTATAGCGCCGGACGTTCGCTTTTCGTCCTCTCATTTTCGTAAACAACACCCCCGCCACGTGAAGGCAGTGAGTAGGACTTCCCTGGCAGAGGCTGTATACGCGTGGCCGTGTGAGAGTATTTCGAGAGGGAGGGCGAACCCTCCCCGCTCTCGGCCATACCAGGGCATTTGGGGGCTGGGTTCGAATCCCGCGAGCAGGATCGTGGGTGCGCACTGCTGAGTAGTCCCACAATAGGACGAAGCGGCCGTCCAGTGTTCCCAGGTTTTCAATGATGGTCTAACATTAATCGGTTCATGATTTCAATCAAAAACAAAAGAACACTTGCATGTCTTTTTATGAAGAGAAAAGCAATGTGATACAATGAATTTTTTGTGTTTTTCTGTTAATTCTATTATATTTTTAGAAAAAGAAAACTAACTAGTGTTACATCTGTAAAGAGTTTGAAATAGTGAAGACAATTAGAAACAAAGAAAACTATTTCTTTTTTTAAAAATGTATTGTTCACTTCAAACTGAATGAATCAAACTAATAAACTATCATTGTCGTTCTAAACAACGTAGGTTGAGCGTGTAGTGTCTGTTATTATGTTAAGCTCATATACCTTATTCTACCATTTGGATAGCTCAATCTATTCATTCTACTTGAGTCACATTCTAACCTTGCCAATTATTCTCTTATCAATCTTGACTGTTTTTTATATGAGCACGTAGGTGTGTGTGTACACTTCTTATCCCATTACTCATCACATGTCTGTAACTTATTTTTGTGTAACCATAAATATTGATTAACTCCGCCTGGAGTCCCTTACGGAGGGCTACTGCCGGTCCCAAGCTCGGATAAAGGGGGAGGGTTGGGCATGGGGTTAGCGACCCCGCCGTCCCCATCCCGTAGAAAACTAACTCGCTAAAAAAACGCTAACCAGAAAAAATTATTCAAACCATTATTCTATAAATATTGATTAACGCTTGGTTAAATGGGGAGTCAGCTTACCCGTCGACTCCACTACGCGTCGTTTTGCTTCGTTCTATTCCATTCACTTAATAAAGAAAATATATGTATTCAATAGTCCATTCTCGTTATTTAACTTATTTAATTCCGTTATTAATTAACGCGATTTAAGTCAATGATTATATATGAGGATAAGGTGCATATATATTTCAACAGCAATCATTCATACAATCTAATCGGAGTCAGATTACGGTTCACTACAAGCAAACTGCTGCAATATCTGAGCTACATGTTCTTACCATTTAGTTATACCAACAAATTATCTATTTTCTTTATTTGTTTTAACAAATCATTATGTTAATTAATTGCATAATCTATTCAGGTGTGTTTGTGAAAAAGTTTACTACATTTCACGGTACAAGTTACAAAAATTTATAATCAGAGTTATCGTGATAGCTGACAATATGCATCGATTTATTTTATTTTATTTAAACACATAAACATTGGTACAAGGAGTCACTAAATAGATATGCACCACATAAATCATTCGATTTGTGTAGGGGTTTGATATATGGTCACAGTCCAAGCTTTTGATTTAAAGGTCTAATCCATATGGCAGTGGAGTAACGTAAAGAGATTTAGTCCTATGATAGCCGATAACCAACAATAAGTTTATACGCTATTTGTTTCTTCTGATTCTGGAGCTCATGAGCACCATTGGTTTAGAATCAAGGTTTTACAACTTCTCTAAGTGAACTCTTCGTGTCCACCATCGAAAGAATATACATTATTCAAATGTCGATTCCTAAACTCCTCACATTTAATTGGCGATCACTCAATATTGATCGAAAAGATGAATCAAGAAATAAGAAAAGGAAACTTGTTAAAATACTTTGTGCTGAGAAATCCATATTGTACCAGTAATATACTATTGAATAAAACCATTAATAATAATAATAATAATAATAATAATAATAATAATAATAATAATAATATCAGTGTTAACTTCTATACAACATCATTAATTTATGGAAGGAGAATTGAATTAATTATGAAAAACAATAATGAACATTTCACTAACCTATCATAATACTATTTTCTATCGATTCATTACTGATTAAAGGAATATTTTGAAAATGATCACCAATATGTTCATCATTATTCAGTAGAAATTCATTAGAGTGGAATGCATCTTGTGAAGAACTAATAAATTCATTATTATTATTATTATTATTATTATTATTATTACTATTAGTAGTAGTCGTAGGCGTCGTCGTCGTAGCAGTCGTAGTAATCGTAGTCGTCGTCGTGGCAGTCGTAGGCGTCGCTGTCTTCGTCGTCGTCGTAGTAGTAGTAGTAGTAGTAGTAGTAGTCGTAGCCGTCGTAGTTGTAGTACTATTCACAACTGATAATAAGATAGTTTGAATAAGTGTAGATATTTGTTTAAGTTCATAGGATTTCTTTTTTGATAATTTTAAAAGATAATTCTTTTCTAATTTATTCATTTCTATACATTTTATTAAATCTGTACATATACTATTAGAATTGAAATAACAACAAGGAAATTGTTTATTCGGTTTGAATACAATATATTGAAATAATAATCTTGTTAATTGACGACATTTAATAGATAGATTTAAAAGACTATTAGGCCAATGTGATAAATTGGAAGTATCGATAACAAACATCTAAATGATAAAGATATAAAAAGAATTACATGTGATTTATTGATAATATAATCTATAATAGACAGAATAAAAGATTAGAAGGAGTTTTGTGGAGATTTTAATCATTTCAATGTTTGAAATCATGAGTCCATTGAAGTTGAATTATCATAGAAAACTTGGAATCATTGGACGGCTGTTTCGTTTTAGTATGGAACTCTTACATGACAATGCGCATCTACGATCTCGCCCCTCTCCCATGAGATTCGAACCCAGAATTTATCAGTCTCGCGAGGAGTCTCATACTAGGACGAAACAGTCGTCCAGTGCTTACAGGTTTTCTATGGTGATCCAGCTTCAATTGACTCATCAAAAGATATTTGATGATAATTCATTTTTGTGTTGGTTCATGTTTAGAACTGTATTTCAGTCAGTCAACTACAACGTAGGACCAGGCACATATATGTAACGGTCTAGGTTGCCATATCTCATTAGCACAACAAGAGGAATACCAAATTCATAGAAGTAGTTGTGTGGTGTGGGTTACTTATATCCACATAAGTAGCATATAACGGTGGTCAGGCATAGAATGTATTTCAGTAGAAGATCGATCAGGAAAGGACGAAAACGGAATGCGATTGGTATAAAAATGCATGAATAATGAAATCTGAGACAAGTTTGAGATGATGGATTGATATTATGCTAATAAACTATTCACTAAATGGTTGTCAGATTTCAGTGAGATATTCTGTAATTTTGTACTTAAATACATTTGTTTGTCCCCATTCGTGTTCATGTTCACTACACTTGCTTCAATGATAGTAATATATAAGAGAAAGATTATATATAAGGATATAATACAGGGAGAAAGGACTAGTTCGAAGAAAGAAAGATATAAAGTATTTTTAATCTTACCGATTAAGGGTAGACAGTGAGTGTATACACCTACCGCCATTGTGATCGATTCTGAGCCATGTCACCCACACTCTGCAACCATTGATTACGATAGTCACGCTGACCACAACCAAGTAGTCTACATCTATCAACATATGTCAGACTAGAAGTTAGTGACTTCAAGCACTGATATCACATTTTGGTTTAGCCGCCACTAACTTTTTTCCAACCATCCTCAACACTAATCAGCATTGCACATCGTGGTAATCGGTGTTCAGGCATACGTAACACGTGGCCCAACCATCTCAGTCGATGAAGATTCACAACCTCATCAATTGATTTACCATCATTCCCTAATACCCTGTATCTGTCTAACCTTACTACTAATTACCCGGTGATCCCAGCAGATGCGAGCAATACTTTTAAGACATCTGTGATCAAATATTAGTAGCTTACAAATATCTTCTACTCTAGATTGATGGTATTCAATCAATGGATAAAGGTCAGACCATTATAACACTGATCACTACTACTATTTAGTAATCAATCCGTGTGAACATTACAACAACAACAACGACGACGACGGCGATGACGACCACAAAGACAACAACAATGTTAAACTTTAACAAATTATTCTCTTCATTTAATTCTTATCAACTTACTTGTAATTCTTGAAGACTCGCAGTCATTAATACATTTTTCCAAGATTTTGGTAAATTTTCAATAATAGTAGATGATATACATAAATGAGAAGAATCTTTATTAATCTTACATAAATCACCAATCCATTGAAAATTATATATCCAATTATATTCTAAGATGAACATGAGAAGATTATGAATGAGGTCACAAAAAATAACACCTGGCGGCCTGCTTAAATATCTGGGCTACCTGTTTCTGCCATCTAGTTATTTCAACAAGTTATCTGTTTTTTTTCATTTTGTTTTAACCTCTCATTATGTCTATTAATCGCATAACATATACAGGCGCGTTTATGAAAAGCCTACGACCTTTCGCTGCACAAGTTACAAAAACCTACAATAAAAGACATCGTGGTGGTTGGCAATATGCGTTGAAGAGAATGAACATTAATCGTATGTCGATTCCCGAATTGCTCAATTCCAACTGCCGATCATTAATTAACAAGATAGACTATCTTCAATCCCTACTAAGTCAAAATATGTATCGTAATTGTGGTGTCATCACAATTCAAGAATCTTGGTTAAACGATTTACAGGACGACTGCCTAGTATCCCTACATGATTTCAAAATTTATCGTCAGGATCGATCAAACGATAAAAAGAGGTGTGGCGGCGGTGTAGCTACTTTTGTAAACGTGAACTGGTGTCGATCTACGTTTGCGTGTTTCAAGTTTTCAAATGACTTTATCGACTGTCTAACTCTAAGATGCCGTCCAAAACATCTAAATAAATACAAATATGTTTATGTTACCAATATCTATGTGACTCCAGACTGCACATCATCTGCGCTATCTGTCTTCGCTGATGAATTCACTGAGTTCGCTGTTACTGCCTTCAGTGATTCACTTTCAGTTGTATGTGGTGATTTTAATTCATGTGACTGTAGCTTCCTTATATCGCTAGGTCACCAAAATGTAGTAGATTTTCCTACTCGGTTGGATGCTCATTTAGACTTCGTTTTCATTAATGATGTAGGTATATATGTGACTCGTAAACGTGCTCCATTGTCTAGCTCGGATCACTGTATAATTCGTGTTCTACCTAAAGTATATGGAAAGCATGGAAAGAGTGCACTCTTAAATCAAAGCAAGAAAGTCAAATATAGGAATTACTCAGAAGTAAATATCCGAAACCTGAAAGACATGTTTCATACGACCAACTGGGAATTATTTACAGATGACTCACTGGAAATCACTACTGATGTTATCACTTGCTACCTTAAATTCTGTTTTGATATTTGTTGTCCCACTGAAACTATTTTTGTAAGTTTTGATCGACTTACATCTTCACAACTAAAACGACTACGGAGGGTGAAAGAGAGAATGTACAAAAAGAAAAACTCTAGTGAAGTTCGTAAGCTAAATGGTCTGATAAACCTCGAGATTAGTCGTCTCAACACTATGTTTGCTCAAAAACTCTTGTCTTGTAAAAACTCTTCAAGTATGTGGAAACTCTTTAAAGAACTTACAAGTGACAGACAGATTAGGACCGATAACCAGCTGGATGTTTGTGAGTTAAATAAGTCTTTTTTACGTCAATCATCTGATGTGATACTCCCTTTATTCACGGGTTTAAAAAATAGCTGTGTTCCTAGTTTCACCGAAACTGATGTCCAAAAATGTCTCCAGTCACTAAATTCATCCCGATGTTTGGGACCTGATGGTATCCCAAACCTCCTTTTCAAAAAGTGTGCTGACGTCCTATGCTATCCATTCACCACTATCTTTAATAGATCCTTCTCTTCGAATCTCATACCGAAAATGTGGAGAAAGATGAAAATAATCCCTATACCCAAGAAATCATCTAGTGATAAGAATGTGAAATTCAGACCCATTGCAATAACTTCACCCTTCCTCAAAGCAATGGAAAAATTATTGACACTTTCACTTCAGCCTGCGATGAAAGAGCACATTGACCAGTATCAGTTTGCTTACAGATGCAAAAGAAGCACCCTCGATGCTGTTGCTGTTCTGCATCATAATATAGTGTTCAACCTAGAAAAGGGTAAGAAGTATGTTCGATGCGCTTTCCTGGACTATACTTCTGCTTTTGATTCTATATCAAGGCAACGTTTACTTAACAAGTTAATCAGCGTCAACACTGACAGCTGGATAACCAACTGGCTATGTTCCTACCTCTCTGGAAGGGAACAGTACACGGTGTTTGGAGGAAAGTGTTCAGAGTCTCTAGTGTCTTATGAAGGTGTACCACAAGGAGCTGTTCTTTCACCTCTTCTTTTCTCTTTTTTTCTGCATGATCTGCCATCTTCCACAGTAAACACTTTCGTGAAATATGCAGACGATCTCACTGTTTGTATGCCTATCTCTTCCTCTTTACATCCTATAGAAATGAACGAGTTTTTATCTCGCATTGATAGCTGGTCTGTCGTTAATGGTCTCCTACTTAATCCGTCTAAATGTCAAGCTGTTAACTTTAGCATGAGACATGATCGGCATTTAAACACCTTTTTGAGATCTCATAATGCTTGTGCCATTGGCGACTCTTTGATAAACACAGTGTCGACGGTCAATTATCTTGGTGTTACCTTTTCCTCTGATCTCTCTTGGTCTTCTCACGTTTTATTGTTATCGAAGAAGGTTTTCCGTCTGACATACTACATTAAGAGGTTGCATGCCTTTGGGATCACTCGTCATTTACTCCTACAATTTGTCAATTCTTGCATATTACCTATTATTCTGTACTGTTCTCCGTTATTCTTTCCCGGGCTTTTGAGAAAAGACTTTGCTGTACTGCGGAGAGCGCTGAAGGCAGTTAGCAAGTTATGTGGTGAATCTTTCGAGACCATAATTAATATGATTGTGGATAGACATCTAAAGTCATGCAAACTCCTGGCAGATGTTATTTTATCAGATACTAACCATCCCCTTCACTCATATCTTTCTCCTTGTATATCTTCTGGTAGAACGAGACGAAATTACATTAAAATCCAAGCACGCAAGCAAAAGTATAAACGTTCTATAGTACCTTACCTAGCAAATGTACTCTGTGACGAACAGGTTGTTAAAGTTAACCTAGTCAATAATCTGCATTCTTAACATGACTCTAATTGAAAAGTTGTACAGTTTTTTTTCAGATTTTTTTTTTTTTTTAAACGGTTTTTTTTTCTTTTGTTCTGTAAAAGAAACTTGTTGAAATATTTTTGTGCTGAGAATTCTATGTTGTACCAAAATATAATATTGAATAAAGCCATAAATAAATAAATAAATAAATAAAATTTAAACTATCGGATGACATATTGTCTACATATATATCATAGATACCACTATAAAAGAAGAAAATAGTAAATAAATAGAAGGTAAGAATAAAAATTATTGATAAATGAATCTTTGGAAATTTATAGAAGTATACACAACTTCGAAAAATGAAATCGAACTAAAGACTTTTGTTCTTGCATGAGAATGTCTAACCTTCGAACCAATGAGCTGGCATCAAAACTCTAACTATAACAAGTATGAGACAGTTATTCATCACAGACAGTGGATATGGGTGGTTACAAGTTCACAGACGAGATTGGTTCTAGGTTTGATTTCTCACTGAGAGAAAGTGTATGCGTGCTACTGAAGAGTCCCATCCTAAGTTGAGAGAGTTATTCAATGTATAGCAACTCACGTTCAATTGAGTTTGCTCTCACCTAATTCGGTTAAGCCCTTTTATTAACTTATTAAACAGACAAAGTCACCTGCACTATAATAACTTATTGTATCCTTATTACTGTTGCGAATGTATGTACCTTTATTATTGTTATCCTTTTAGGAATATATATGCTCGGCAAGCCTTACTGCCTACACATTTGTTCACGCTACCAGCTTTACTATTAACCGCTTAATTGACTCGATGATTCATTAATTTCATTATGTATATATATGTCCATGTTATTCATATTCATTACTCGCTCGCTCGTTCATTCACTCGCTCGATCGCTTGCTCTTGCCCTTTCTCTCTCTCGCTCTCTTGCCTGTTTGCCTTTCGGCACAACTATTTCATGCTTGCTTAACGCATCTGTAATTTTGGATATCTGTGTGTGGTCCCTTGAGTTATTTTTTCTGGTTAGCGCTAACTTGGAATCCTGAAGGGAAGCGGAAAAGAGGAAGACCAAAGAACACATTACGTCGGGAAATAGAAGCAGATATGAAAAAGATGAATAAGAACTGGAAAGAGCTTGAAAGGATTGCCCAGGACAGGGTTGGATGGAGAATGCTGGTGAGCGGCCTATGCTCCTTCACGAGGAGTAACAGGCGTAAGTAAGTAAGTGTGGTCCCTTAATAAACGTAATTAACACTTCGTATTCGCCTTCTGATTAATATACCGTTGGAGCATTATTTGGTGACGGTTACCGAGACGAACTGTATACGGAGTTTAAGGAATATAACGAACACCGACCACCACAAATGTTTTTATGTTTTCACTGGTATTCCAGCTAAGAATAATTCGTGATTTAAATTATGACAATTAAAACCTGTCAAGCAATTAGTTCAGTTCGGAGAAAAAAATACATAACAAGTTTGAAAACGACTTACTTGGTAATTAGTCTACATGAAATTTCCAATTTATTCTTAAAATCTTTTCTTAAAGATTTATTAGTTGAAGATGAATACTATCGTCAAATCGATGAGATCGCTATCAATAGTTCATTAGAACCAATATTAGAAAATGTGTTTATGGTGCATGTTAAAAATCTAGCTGAATACCTAATCGAAAATATGTCCCTTTAGAAGAGATATAGAGATGACATTTTAGTTATGTGTGAAAGGCAGAAAGATATGAACTTAACCCTATAGGGGTTGTGGAGATTATTAAGTCTTTGACTGAGATCATTAGCCGATTGATGTTAGCCCACCGTTGGAAACCTAGAAGCACTGAACGGCCGTTTCGTCCTATTGTGGGACTCCTCATCCTTCCAATTACTCAATGTTCATTTATAATCGATAATTATTATGTAACGTATCTACTTGATGAGTATTAATTCA